CAACCAGGAAACACCTGCAAGTCGCTGAGCAAGACGGAGGAAGGCCTATCCTACACTATACCCAGCAGATAGCCGAATTGGGGGCCAAGAGAAGCAAAAACACTCTGCTGGGGCCAACATACAAATACAGCAGGCAGCTGAAGGAGGGAGGGATTGCTCTGTTTGCCTCACAGCAAGCTATCAATTGTACAAAGCTGCTGGAGGAGCTTTTTGGATAGCAGTCTCCTGATCAGGATATGTAAGAATGGTAAAACTAACACAGGAAAGTTCCCTGCTGTAGGAGGGACGTCTGCCGTCCACAACAGGCAAAGTTGTTGTATTCTCAAGCAATATTTGGAGGAAATATTGATCAAGGCAAGCACAGCAGGTATGTCCATTTCGTGCTGTACCAGCAGTAGTACACATTCAATTCTGTTGTCTACAAATGAATGGTTTGTTCATGTGTCACACAAAAAACCATTTCAAAACAGAAAGCAGCAGGATGATCTGCTCAACAGGGTTAGAATGTACAATAAGTGAGTGTCTTTTCTTAAGAGTTGTAAAAGGTATTCCAGAGCTTGTGTGGAGTAGTCACCTATCTCAATGGCTCTTTTTCAGCATTTATACAGCAAAGATGCATTCAGAATGCCTATTGCAATGGTTGAGATGGATCAGCATCCAGAATGCCTCATCCAGAGAACGTAAATTGGTTTGAGAAACCCAATTCATTTTGAAATAGGGGCTCTATGCCTCTGTGTTGACACCTGATTCACAACAGATGTGAATATTTTCACTTTTTCCACTAAAAGCATTCACCTGTGACTGACCCCCATAATAGGAACAATCTGCTCAGCTTTAGCTATTACGAATAATTTTGTCACATTAAAATTTTAGTAGTAAATGGAGGCAGAAGAGAAACAACACCAAGCAAGTCTTACAATCGCATTCCTTTCCAATCATATTTCCCCCATCAGTTTTCTAAAAGCTAATAATCTAATTCCACAAATTCTGTATACAGTTCACTTAAATGTGGATTCAAATGGGATACACTCCTTGAAACCAAAATACATTATTATCTTGGAGTAAAGCACACTGGGAACCCAGTGGGAAGCATTTCTGAAGCTCTTGCATGCAGGGCTGATGCCACTGGTCTCCATCTTCTGAAGAAGTAGCCATCTAGAGATGAGGCACCCAAAGGATTTGATTTTTCACCTTGGTAAGCAATTTATGGTTTAGCAAGCTGCAGTCAAAACCTCACTCATTTAAATGATAGAGGAAGAGAGAAAACGATCCTGCATTTTACTCTTCCTCTTTCTCTGAGCTTCATGTGCTCCATTCCCAACTATACTAGACAGAGGTGCTTCATAGAGCAGGATAAAACCTGGGTAAAGGTCGGTTTATGTGGGAAAATGTACTCCTGAGCTATGGACTGGACAAGACAATTGTTCAAGAAGATAATTGCAATTGTTTTGCAACCTGCCAGTAACCGGACCTCCCTCAGTGCCCCTCCAGACCATCAATGTCTTTCTTTCCTGGAAACCAGCAATGGACTGGGCCCAGTGACTGCCAATGGAGGAGCAGGGCTCTGAAGCACTTGTCACACATTGCCACTGCAATACGCAGCCTACGCATGCAATATAGCTCCGGCCTCCCACAGCGTGCCCGACAGGAAGATGCCCCAATTCCAGGAGCAGAGTAGCCAGAAGGGAGGGCTAAAAACAATGGCACCCTATCCATTTCAAGCAAACCTTCTCTTCAAGCCTAAGTCTTCCAGAACATTTACTCAGGGGTCAGCCTGGCAGGGCTCACTTCTAAGTGAGGGTTCTTCAGAGATTGCAGCCATAGAGGACAGGATGGGGGCCTCTCCGTACAAAAAACAAGAAAGGAGAACCCTGCACCATGAAAAATATCAACCACATGCACATCTAGGCAACCCAAGCTACAGCTATGCAAATGTATCTTTGCTCTTCCATAAATAATATAGGGCATTACTTGGTTCCAAGTGCTGTTGCCTCCTGCAGGCAATACAGTTTCGGGTCCTATATCATGACAACTTATTATGGTCCTCTGCATAGTGTTATTATTAACACACACACAACTATTTATCTCAAGGGTATTTAAACTGTGTAAAACCTCCAGCCCCCTCAACAAACAAGCCACAGTACAGAATGTATAGTACAGAATGTATATCCCAGTCTGACCAGCGGAGATTCAAACCCTGCATCTTCCAGAGAAGAGATAACCTTCACTCTTCTTCTCCAAGAGAGCACTGTTGGAGGGGGCCTTTGATTTAGACAAGGAGACCAAGTAGGAGTACACTGCCCAGTGCCATGGAAAGGGGGTTGGTTAAGGGACTGAGACAGAGAATGCTATTCTGCATTCAAGACTGCAGGAAGGAAAGACAGGCTTGGACTGGTGCAACCACATTTGCCAAGGTGCCTTCGGCATGGCCTCCATTTGCTCCTTACCTAACCCTGAAGGTCAGAAATCCCCCTCAGTCTCCGGACTGATCCTGCAGATTGCCCTCACCCGCAAGCCTCAGCATTACTCACCAGGGCTGCTGAGACCTATAATACCCCAGCATTGGGAGGGCCATACAATTCTGCTCTGTCCCAATGGTCACCCACAGGACGTCCAGGCAAAGAACCAGCTCAAAAGTCTCCCTCCTCTCTGGCTTACCCCAGACCTGGAATCCCTCTGCAGCAGCCCAGGCCTTGGACAGGAGTGCCCTTACCCATGCCCTATTTCCCCATTCATACAACTTCTTACAGGCAGAGATACCGCACAGAAAGTCCTTGTCTGTTTCCCCCCAGCACCATGACAATATGCCCCTTCCCCATCCCAAATGCCTGCTATGAAGCAGTCCCAAGTGGATTCTGCCCCCCTTGCTTCTCCTTCCTCCCTAAGGCCCTCTTGCAGGAGAGGGATCCTCCTCCCTTCTGCCAAGGCACCACAAGTCTCCCTGCCTGCCTCTGCTGGGTGCCATGCTCTGCCCACTCCCTCCATCCCCCTCCAAGAGGCTGCTTTGCTCCTCCAGGTGAAGACCACTTGCTGCATCCTGGAATCTCCGTATTCTATTGAGGCATGCACAAAGCCTTAAGGAAGCCATGTGCCTCCCCCTCAAAGTATGTCACCCCCATCCTTTTCCTCCCAACACCCTAAAGATCCCAGGTCAAGGTTAACGCTGGATTGGTCAAACATTTTTCGAGGATGACAGCCCATCCTCCTCTAACAAAATATTCTCCCTCCTTTTGGGAAGGGACGCCTCAGCTCACCTTTTTCCCACTCCCCAGGCAGCAACCCCAAAGCCCCCCTCCCCACCTGAGCCCTACCTCTACTTCCTACCTCCCTTGTCAAACCAGAGGGGTTTCTGATGCAATGTTGAGAAGGGAGGAAAGGGGGAAGCCAGGAGGCGGGCGTTCCCCATTCTTTGTACAGTGGTCCGATTCGGGTGGTGGAGGGATGGGGGGCAGACATCAATAAAAGGAAAAGACCTTTATTTTTAATCCTGCACTTCCCCTGGGTCCTCCTTTTGCCCAGCATTCTCTCTTGTTTTTTTCTGATTTTGTGATTGCTTTGGGATCCTGGGCAGAAAGCCCCTTACAAGAAAAGGCTCCTTTCATACAATCCCCAGATCCCTCCTTTTTGCTCCCCCCCCTCTCGCCAAACAGAATTTTCAGCCACAAGGAGAGTTGGTTAATACGTTTCCTATTATTATTATTATTATTATTATTATTATTATTATTATTGCTGTTATTATAGCTGCCACTAGAGCACAAGTGACCCTTCTCCTGCCGAGGGAGAAAGAGAGACACAGGTGGAGGGGGCAGTTCAAATATTAACAATAACAATAACAACAATGTCATCATCATAGTAATAAAAAATAAGGAGAACATAAAATACAATATCATATCTTATCATAAAAATAATATAAAATAGACAATATAATTGAAATACAAAATAAAATAAAAATGTAAAATATAATAACAGTATCATATAATAAAATAATATCACATAATACAACAAAACAAAAATATAAAATAGAACAAAAAGAATATAAAAGATAATAATTTAATAAAAATACAAAATAAAAAGGTATTAATATAATACAGACATAAAATAGAAACAAATACAAACTAGAATACAATAACAATATCATATAATATAAAATAATATGACATAGTAATATAACATAAAAATATTAAAAAGAATAAAATATAAAATATAACAATATCATATAAGAAAATATAATTATAGATAATTGTGTGATATATATATATATATATATATATATATAACGCAATATGGATAATATAATATAAATTAAAAAATTAAAACACAAAATGAAATAAAAATATAAATAAATTATTAAATATTAAATCAGAACAGAATACCATATAACATCAAATAAAAATACAAAGAAGAGACAATAAGACATTAAAGACATTAATGAGAATATAAAGCAAGACTAAAATAACACGATCGAAAATAAAAAGGTGGAGGGATCGAAAAAGAACCCAAGCCGTGCTCGTGGGACCTCTTGGGAGTCGGTCCCTTTTGCTGAGAAGGAAGCAGGCGCCCATTTGCTCAGGGCCCTTCTACACAGCCCTACAACCCAGAATATCAAGGCAGAGAATGCCACAATTTCTTGTTTGAACTGGGTTATCTAAGTCCACACGGCCATATATTCCAGTTCAAAGCAGACACGGTGGGATTTGATTCAGCTGTGGGGAAGGGGCCTCCGTGGCGGAAAGAGGAGCGCGAGCGAGAGAGGTCGGCCGGTCACAAGACTGCGGCGGCGGCGCCTCAATAATACACTCAACGCAGGCTACCGAAGAGTTGCCTTCTCCTCCTCCTCCTCCCCCTCCGGATTCCTCTCATGGCGCAGGAAAGGGGCGGAGGGGCTGAGGCGACCCCACCCCAAGGAAGGGCCCGGCTCGGGGCCCAGGCCGCTTGGCTCCAAAGTCTGGGGGAGGGACAACGCGAGGGCGGGGAGGGGAGGTAAGAGGGGAAGGCCTCACCTGCCGAGGGCGGCGCGGCCTGCTCCTCCGCCGAGGCCTGCTCCGCCGGGGGCTTTCCTTCCCCCGCTGCCGCCCGCCGAGCCTTGTGGCGGGGGAGGAGGTGGGGGGGGAGGCGGAGGCGGGCTGGGGGCCGCTTGTTGCTGTTGTTGTTGCTGCTGCTGCTGCTGCTGAGGAGGCGGCGGCGAAGGCGCGGGGGACGCTACTCCAGTTGCCGAAGCTGGCGTGGTGGTACTCTGCTTGAGGGCCATGGCCGGTCTCCCTTGCTCTGCCCGCCTCCTCCTCTTTCTTCTTCTCCTCAGAGGAGGGGGAGGAGCCTCTGGCCTGCTTTTGGGCGGGAAAGAAGAAGAAAGCGAAGAAAGAGGGGCGGGGCCCAGGGGACGCTCCGCCCCCTCCAGCATGGCCCCTCCCTCCTCCGCCGCTTTCGTCGCCTCAGCCGGGCAGGGGCCCCGCTTCCGGGTCACGTGAACTCCCCTCCCTCCCTCCCTCGAGGAGAAAGGCAGCGCATGCGTGGAGCCTGCAACTGGCTTTGCGGGTTGGGGGGTCTCCCATGCACACAAGCCTCTTCCACATAACTGGATAAAATTCCCCCATTCTCTGCTTTGTACTGGGTTATTTGGCAGTGTGGACTCAGATAACACAGGGCCCTTCCACACAGCCTTGTATCACAGAATATCAAGGCAGATAATCCCACATTATCTGAGTGTGGACTCAGATAACCCAGTTCAAAGCAGATATTGTGGGATTTACTGCCTTGATATTCTGGGATATAGGGCTGTGTGGAAGGGCCCTTAGATAACCCAGAGCACTTCCACACAGCCATATAACCCAGAATATCAAGTCAGATAATCCACAATATCTGTTTTGGACTGGGTTATTTGAATCCACACTGCCATATAATCCAGTTCAATGTCGATTTTATTCAGCTGTGTGGGAGGGGCCTCGAATAACTCAGGCCCCTTCCATAGCTGGATAAAATGTACCTTGAACTGGATGATCTGGCAGTGTGGACTCAGATAACCCAGTCCAAAACAGATATTGTGGATTATCTGCCTTGATATTCTGGGTTATATGAGTGTGTGGAAGGGCCCTGAGTCCACACTACCATATCATCCAGTTCAAGGTGGATTTTATCAAGCTGTGGAAGGGGCCTAACTGCACCTCCTGACACCAAAAAGTCTCTGCTGCCCAATGTCATGCACAAAGAAAGTGGCCAAAAGTGTCCTCTTTGTCATGCTGCCATTTGAGTTGCTGCCTGCTTCTTTCAAAACAAACGGGTTACAATACCAAAGCTTCCAGCAATGGGAAAAAAACCTTGGGGCATCTATGCTGTAGAATAGATCACTTTATGTAGCCCCAAAAGATTAGCATTAGATCTGGGTAAATATGGAATATCTATATCTAATCTAGATCTACTTACGGACCCACCACCAAGACTCTCCCCCACACATACACATTTAGGATTTATTCATATTATTATTAATTTTATAAGTTTAATAGATTTAACAAATGTCTAATAAATAATCAAGAAAAGTGGTAGTGGTGGTGAGAGCAGTTAAGGAACCTTTAAAACATTGTATGGTATTACATTCAGATTTTCATCTCTATTACCCTAACATTCATTGTTTAAACTACTAAACTGTTTGGAAAGTCTATAAGCTCTTCCACACAGTCCTCTAACACCAAGGCAGAAAATCCCACATTATCTGAATGTAGACTCAGAAAACCCAGTTCAAAGCAGATATTGTGGGATTTTCTGCCATGATATCCTGGGATATAGGCTGTGTGGAAGAGCCCACAGCCCTATAACACAGAATATCAAGGCAGAAAATCCCACAATATCTGCTTTGAACTGGGTTATCTGACTTCACACTGCCATATATTCTAGTTCAAAGCAGACAAGGTGGGATTTGATTCAGCCTTGGTATCTTCCATATACTAGAGCAGCGTTTCTCATCCTGGGGGGGTCACAAGGGGATGTTAGAGGGGTCACCAAAAACCCTAAGAAAACACAGTATTTTCTGTTGGCCATGGGAGTTCTGTTGGGGAAGTTTGGCCCAATTCTATCAGTGCTCTTTGATTTTAGGTGAACTATAAATCTAAGCAACTACAACTCCCAAATTTCAAAGTTTGTTTTCCACAAACTCGACCAGTGTTCACATTTGGACATACTGAGTATTTGTGTCAAGTTTAGTCCAGCTCTATCATTGTTTGAATCCACAGTGCTCTCTGGATGTAGGCGACTACAACTCCAAACTCAAGGTCAATACCCACCAAACCCTTCCAGTATTTTCTGTTGGTCATGGGAGTTCTGTGTGCCAAGTTTGGTCCAATGCCATCTTTGGTGGAGTTCAGAATGCTTTGATGGTAGGTTAACTATAAATCCCAGCAACTACAACTCCCAAATGACAACCCCCCCCCCTCCTCCTGACCCCACCAGTATTCAAATTTGGGTATATTGGGCATTTGTGCCATATTAGGTCCATTTAATGAAAATACATCCTGCATATCAGATATTTACATTACAATCCATTACAGAAGCAAAATTAGTTATGAAGTAGCAACAAAAATAATTTTATGTTTGGGGGTCGCGGCATTAGGAAGTTTGAGACACACTGTAATAGAGAGTTCTTACTGTCCTTGAAACCTAATAACCATGTCTTTTTATGCTGGATCTTTGATTCCAGTTAGTTATCCTTTCCTTTTCTGCTTGAAGATTTTTCTTGGATGTTTCTGTTAGTTTTGTTTCCAAACTGTTCTTTGAAAGCTATAACTTAAGTCTATCTGTTAGTAGATTAGTATTGTATATTCTTATCTCTATCTATCTATCTATCTATCTATCTATCTATCTATCTATCTATCTATCTATACACATAATAAAAGTTAAAATATGTATGTGTGTGGCTGGAGTGTCTACTGACACAGACAGGCTCCTGCTTCCACAATAATAATAGTAATAATGATTATACTTTATTTATATTCCACTCTATCTCCCCATAGGGACTCAGGGCGTATATAGCTCCCACTGCTCAGGAAATACCAAAGCCCCCCCCTCCCCCCAGTGACATTGCAGGTTATAGTGAGCGCCATGAACATGCACAAGAGCCCTGCTAATGTCCACAAACACCATACTGCCCACCACCCAAGTGAAGGCTTTCAATCCTTGATTTCATGCGTTTCCTCCACCGCAGACATCCCAGATTTCTGACTCTCTCCATTAGTGTGGAATTTGCATGATCCCGGCCACTGCCTCTTCCTTAACCCTTTCCTATTCTTTTCTATGGCATACAGCAAACAGAGGAATTGATCAGCAACTGAACATACTAGAGAGGTTTGGGGAGAACTCACTATGATTCATAGGAATTGTAGGTCCTGGGATGTATAGTTCACCTGCACTCTAAGAGCAGTCTGAACTCCACCAATGATGGACCTGGAACTAACTTGGCACACAAAACCCCCATGATCACAAAAACATACTGGAGGTCTTTGGAGGGATTTATAGGAGTTGTAGTTCACCTACATCCAGAGAGCACTATGAACCCAAACAATGATGGATGTAGACCAAACTTGGCATGCATACCCAATATGCCCAAATTGGAATACTGGTGGGTTGTGAGGGGAATTGGCCTGGACATTTTGGAGTTGGGAGGTACTGGAATTCATAGTTCACCTGCAATCAAGGAACACTCTGAACACCAAATATAGAATTGGACCAAACTCCACAGAGGCTCCATGACCAGATACTGGAGGTCTGTGGGGGAAATTCACCTTGATTTGGGGGAGTTGTCATTCACCTACATCCAGAAAGCACTGTGAACCCAAAAACTGATGGATCTGGACCAAACTTGGCACACATATCTGATATACCAAAATTTGATTACTGCAAGGTTTTGGAGGAAACTGACCTTCCCTTCTGGGAGTTGTAGTTAACCCACAACCAGAGAAACACTGACCTCCACCGATGATGGATCTGGACCAAACTTGACACACCCCTTGACTAACTAGGCCTACTGGAGAGGTTTGAGGGGACTGACTCAACATAGTGGGAGCTGTAGTTTACCCTGCAGCCAGAGAGTACACTGAACATTACTGATGATGCATCCAGAGCAAATTTGCCCAACACAACCAAACCAACTTGAAGTACTGATGGAGGTTCTTAGGGTTAACCTGGCATGATGTGAGTTGTAGTTCAGCCACAACCTTATGCATTTTGTACAATTAAAATGCCCTCAGTCTTTTGTTTTGTAAGATAATTGTTAGTGTTATTTTTCTGTTTATATGTTTTGAATTTAGAAGTTAAGGGAAGTTAATGCCTCTAGACCATGGCCATACAGCCCGAAAAAACTTACAACAACCCAGTTAAGGGGAGCATTCAATAGTGAATAATATGTAGTTTCAAATGAACCTAGAGATGTTTAATCTTCCAAACAGACTTTTTCTCCATTTTATGTGGTCTTCCAATATGAAAGGTAGAGTGATTTTTGTAAAAACTTGTTTAGATTTGTGTTCTGTGTGAAGAAATGAGAAGTATGTAATTTTCAATGCAAATTTCATAAAATAGTTCATTTGCCATTAATGTTAATGGTTCAAAGAATATCAGGCTGAATTGATCGGCTCCTATGTTAATCTTGCCAAGTCTGACCCTTCTTGCAAAAAATTTGGACACCACTGAGTCAGCCAATATATCTGTCCTCCTACAGACAGACAATTCAGCCAGGCTGGTTGGTAGATTGTTGGCATTACAGTTCAAAAAGCTACTGATGTCAAGTTCCGTTCTTGTCACTCTTGTTCCAAATCCACCATGAGGCCCTTTCTCTAGCAAAATGCGACAGCAGCAGAGTGAGTGCAGCCTTGAGTTTTCCAGAACCTTTGCTCAGACTGGAGCAAAGCAGGGCAGGGAAAAGGTGGGCTTGGTGCAGCAGCCACAAAGTCTGGGTTTAATCGGAGTTTTAAAAGGCCAGTTGCAGAGTTAATTGGATTAGGCTTCACCAGGGTTTCAAGTTGCACCTCCAGATGGCTGGCAAAAAGGAACACACAAGCGCTGGGCCATCAAGATGAGCCAGGCAAAGCTTAAGAGGATTTCCAAAAAAGGGTTTTGATTAGGAGATTAAACACCTCTGTTGCATATGGAAATGCACTCCCATTTCTCTATACAGTGGGACAGGAGAAAGGTATCTCAAACAAGCAAACATGCATAGTAAGCATCTCATGAACCATGAAGTCACTCCGCTTGCATTAGAGCCCTTGTTTTGCTTTTGAGTCAAAGAGAAGGGACAAATTCTGTTATAGGTGAGCCTATTTAAATATTTGGGGAGCACAGAAACGTTTCCCGTGAAAGTGGGAAGTGTTTTTGAGTCCTCTTAAGGTTAAGATTTCCTTGGGTGTTCTTGGCAGACAGCCTGTGACTTTTACAACTTTATTTGCAAATACAGTTGCTGTAGATCTAATCTTTAGCAAAGGCCCAGCTCTTCAAGGCAGGGGATGTCTTTAAAATATGTGCCGGAGGCAAAATCACCAGGCAATCTCATCTGGAATCAAGAAGACTTTTCCTCATATTTCCAAGACCCACCTTGATAGTATAAGAACAGCAGTAAGTGAGGAATTCAACAGGTCCAGTTTTTCCAGCACAGAGAAAAACTTTGTGTTGACTTTCTGTTTGTCAATTCATACTGCTCCTTTCATGTCATAAAGGAACTCGGAAATGGTAATCTATCCTGTTGTTCAGAATCAATGCAATACAAGCCACACCACAGTTTGGTGCCACACATAACCCCTCATTAATGTTAATTTAATTCATGAATACCCTACCCATCCACTAGAGAGTAGTTAAGGCAGCTCGCAACCATAATACCAAGAAATAAAGGGTAGCCACCAATTCAAATGGTTTCAAGTAAAGGACTGCGGATTTCTCTCCTTACCAGCTAAAGGGCATCCAAGATGGAGAACTTACCTTGTATCCAGGCTGATGCAAATAGGGCAACAGACTGAGGGAAAGGGCTCCCTTCAAAGATCTTCAAATCTGGAGGGTTCAGCCTTTCAAATAAGCCTTATGGTCTTTTGGAGATCAAAGCAAGCACTTTGCTTCATGCTCCAAAATGGATCAGCAAGCTCTTGACAAAAGAAAAACCCCATAACCAATCTGTTAATGTTCAAGCTGCTCATTCTGAGATTTCCAAAGAGTATTCTAAGGCAGGCAACCGAGAGTGTGGCAAGAGCCCAAACAGGATGCCACCAAGTTTTTTGTCACTGCAACCAGACTTCAGAGTCTTCAGTCTAACTTCAAGGGATGCAGCTTTAAAAGTGAATGCTCCCGATGTCTCTCTCTCAATCGCAACGGTGCTACAAGATCCCTTTGTATACTGCTTGGCAATGTGGGCTATTTGGAGTGTAAATCAAGGTTAATGGTGAACCAACACAGATTTGTTGCTGGTTTCAAAGCATCAAAGGTGCATAGATGGTGTCCACTGACAGGCTACCCACATGGAAGAACTCACCTTGTGCAAGCTAGTTAGAAGGAAATGCTGTGTGGCTATCCACTCCATCACCTGTTGACCAGCAAGAGATTCTTAAGTGACCAGGACCAAAGCAGATTGTTGTCGTTCAGTTGAGGTTCTCACCACTGGCAGTTGCAAATAAAAGGATCAAGTAGTTGTTGATGGCAGACATCCCCTCCTGCAAATCTGCTGCCAAAATAGGACTGAGTTGGTATAATATTGTCCCTGTGTACCCTCCAACATCTCACAGGTTTTGAGATGCAAAGTTAATTGGGTGCAAACCACTTTTGCTCCTTGGATTCAGTTTGCAGCAATGGAAGGAAGCAGAGGATAAAGAAAAAAATGTCCTCAGAGAGAAAGCAGTGAGAAAAATGGGATGACAAAGGGTTAATTAGGACTGACTCAGCCAAGTCAAAGTCAGGATAGTTAGAAGGCACACCTTTCTGTGATTCAGGATTACATGTCTTAACAGTGTGGACGTTAGGCTCAAAAATGTCTATGCATATTGTAGTATGACTTGTAAGCTCTCTAAGCCTCCAGTTGTTGATGTTCTTCAATTGTGAGAGAGCGATGTTTTCATGTATCTTTCAGCTCCCATGCACTCTGTTGATGTTTTGTGTTTCTAAAGACAAACATAAGGAATCTTTGCAGATGAAGGCCTGGATTCTGCAGCTTGCAGAACCATTTCCTTCCACAAAGAACTCCCTTGTCCCTGCCTTCTTGATGCCTCTTCAAGTCTCTTGCTGCTTGGAGACATTGTACCACACGTACTATTTAAAGCCCTTTCATAAAAGAGAAATAAAAATTAATTTTTACACATGAACAACTCGAAGGAGGCGTAGCCATGGTTACGCAAAAGTTCTTAGAGACTGGTCTATTAAAAGAATGAAGTCCTGGAATCCTAGATAGTAAGCCGAAAATAGATGTGTGTGTACACACACCGGCGCACAAACATGCCCGCACATGACAAGCCGATGTTTCTTGACATACTGTACTTGGGAGGGAAACACGATCCTCCGAAAGATTAGAAGAATGGGAGGCACAGAATTGCATCCAAGTAGCTGTGGGCAGCATTCACAGGCCCTGGTCCTTTGACGGAGGTGGGAGACGTGTTCTGGGCTCTTCCTCCAAACAGAAGGACGATCCATTCAGACATTGCGGATGGGACAACTACAGAATGCTTTGATGGAAGGGGGCGTTAAAGGACACGCTGGGAACTTGACTGCATAGAGCTGCCAGAAAGTCTCCTGAAGCTGTTGTTAAGACTTTGGCTCTTTTCTTTGTAAGTAAGGCTCTCTTTGGCATAACCTGGTCATTGACAAGTGAAGTATCATGTGAGAAGTCAGAATTTGCACTTTCTATTGAGTCCAGAAAAAACTGGGTACCTAGTAGACACAAGAGGGGAGCAGCATACATTTGCAAGGTCCCTCTAGCTTCTCATGGAACCCTGGTGATCCCCTGGAGTTTCCAAAGTGTCTTTAGCCCTCATCCTACTAGACAGATCATTTCAGTAAAGATTTACTCAGAGCCAGCCCTGCGAGATAAGTAGGCCTCTTACCACACTGTCACCCCAAGAGTTTGAAACAAGTTCCTGTTGTTGTCAGCATCCTCCTCGTCTCACATGAAGCGTATTGAGCATTGGCTTTGGCCAAGGCGCCACCCTCCTACCCACCCCATGGCTCCCCCCATCCCATCCCCCCCCCCCCCCCAACTGCTATAGGAAGCCCTGTCCCTTGCGATTGCCTCTCCGCTGGACAAAGGCTTGTACAATTGTTTTGCTGGTCTGGTTCCATTTCAATATAGCCTTTGTCTTGCTCTCTTTGGCTTCCATTGTGCCTTCATGTGCATTTCCCCCTTCTCGCCTCCCTAAGTGGTAAGGCAGAGGGGGAAATGAATCCCCTGTAGTATTCTGCCATTATTAGGACCAGCTAGAACTTCCCCAGCTTTGGAGGCCACTTCTAACAGACTGAAGAAAGGATTCCAGCGCTGACCATTCTTCCTGCCACGAGCCATTTTGCTGTAGACCGAGGCATTCACCTCATGGATGTCTCAGGGAAACCAGTTGGTTTTCTCAAGTGTACCATTTGCCCTCAGAACTTCAGGAAGAAGTCCACTATCTCCCTCCATCCACAACCTGGCAACGACGCTGTACACACAAAAGGCAAATGTATATGGTTTATCCAGTTTAATGGGTTTTGTTGCAGGTGTTACAGCAAAGTACATCTTTTTAGAAAGGACACATCTGTGGATCTTTCGAGTGTCAACCAAACTCCTGTCCAACCCGACAATAAAGAAGGCTGCTTCCAGTTCAGAAAAAGTTTGGCTGACTGAAACAGTGTGCAGATCTAGCTCTCTTGCACATACAATGGCTAGGAACTCTTCTCAATTTCTAAAAGATCCAGGCTGCAAACTACGCGGAAAACACAAACATTCCAGAGGAAATGCACAAACTTCCTGAGAACCAGTCCAGATCTTGACCCAAACGTTAACGCAAGAACAAGCCCCTAAACTGGGCCAAAGTGGAACTGGGCTTCCAATGGTGTCCCCATGCAAGCCTGCTAACCAAAAAGTTCCCTGAGGAAGGGAAAACCTTTTCAAGAAACAATTGGTGGGACTCCTGAATTCATTCCCCACACCATGGAATTTATAATACGAAGAACTGTAAACCTTCTCTGTGGATGAACATTTCCCCAAATATTATTGCACTCACTTCACTCCTATTTCATGGCAATGAGAGGGAGTAGAACCTTTGCCAAGGAGAACACCACAACTGAGAAAAAGAAAGTGCTCCTCCAGCAAACAAGCAAAGATAGGCATAGGAAAGAGCATCCCTTAAGAAGACATGGATGGCTTTTTCTTTTTTCTTTTTTGGAAAGGGAAGAATTGTGGGCATGCTACAAGCCAAGCCAAGCTAAAGTACGCAGGTCAGGCCCCTGGCCATTCACAGTGGCCCCTGAACTACAAGAAGGTGCAAGGGTGGTCACACTCCAGGAGCAAGTGGAAGACAGGGCATCTATCCCAACTACAGGTGCTGGAAAGGGTCTGCCAGCTCTTGGCATCTCCCCTCAGATGTGCAATGGGCATTTCAGATTTTTAAGCTTCTGAAATCAGTGTTAATAGAGTCTTTCTGTTGACATTGTGCTTCTCTGATCGACTAAGGACCAGTCCTGATTTATATATAACCATCTGCCAAGAGCTCCTGATCTTTTCACGGAGACTTTTTCTTTAAGCAAAGGGTACTTCAGACCTCAGCAATGGGCCAAGGGGATCAGAGAAGTGGTGCCCCTTCCCTGCCTAGGCATTCAAATGCGAGTTTGTCCTGGAAATGGCATGCTTGGAGCCCTGCATGGAAGCACTGCTTGGGACAACAGAGTGGTGGAAGAGTAGGGGAGGGGGCAAAGCATGCCCCTGAGGGCACCATTCCAAAGTGCGTGCTGCAAAAGCAGCTTTTCCGGTGGGGGTTGGTTGCATGCATTCTCCTGTACTGCATAGTCAGGTATCAAGGCAGGGAGTTGGAAGTACTCTGGGAAAGCGGATGCAACCCATGAGGCACTGCTTGTACTCTGGAAGAGCATGCCGGGGGGGGGGGGGGGGGGAGAAGGAATAAGCTTGGGAGAAAGGCTCTGTGGCAAAAGGGGGAGGCCACGCTTGTTCCTCCTCCAGCCGTACTCAGCCATGCTCCAGACAAAGACTGCACCCAGGTCGAGGCCAGCAACCGGGTTATGGAAGAGGGCAAAATGCTGCATCCCTCACACTCATTCTAAAGGAAACCTGAGTCTCTGTTGTCTTTTTTGGTTGTCGCTCTTTTTTAAAAAGTCAAACTCCAAGCAAACAGCTAGAACTGGGGCCAGCTATGCAGCAGAGACAAGAAAAAGGAGGCAAAGGAGGAGTTAAATTAAGCAAGCGAGCCATAAGGAATTAGAATAGCTTGCCTAGGAGTGGCTCACCTGGGAAAGAGCCTTCCAGGCCTCCAAAGGCCACGGCTAGTGCAACAGAGTAGGAAAGGATGTGGAAAGGGGTCATTGACCCTTCAGTGGACTCTGGCGCCTGTTCTGCACAACAGGCAACTCTCACTCTCTCCCTGGCCACCTGCCATGGCCACTTTCGTTAAGGTTGGTTGCCCCAGCCTCATCGCTCACTTGCCCCGCTTGCCTCTACCTTTCCGGGCCGAAGGCTTCCCTGCAACCCCGGCGGCTGAGCTAGCTGAGGCCATGGCAATGTTGATCTGTCCATCCTGGATCTCCTGCCGGGCCTCCACCGGGAGGTGGTTGATCTTCTGCTGGGTCTCCAGGTAGAACATGACATCCCGGAGCTGTTCCTGGATCTCGGTAATCTGCAGGTCCTTCTGCTCACAGGTCTCCTTGAGCAGCTTCTCCTCCTCCTTCAGCTTGTTCTGAAGCAAGAGCTGGTTGGCGCGCAAACACTTGTTCATCTCCTGCTCCTCCTTCAGCTCCGTGGTGAGCTTGCACACCTTGGCACTCAGCTGGGTGCACCTGAGGAAAGAACAAGAGCGGAGTTGATCAGTGAGACCCCGCCAGCTCGAGGGAGGTCACAGCAAACCTGCAGGAAAAGGGGAATGTTCTCAACTGGGGGAGTTCCTGAGTATCCAGGGTAAGTTCAGGAATGCCTCCCTCCACAGAGATGGGGGTCCCCACTGAATTATTAATTGGTTCTGGTTTAATATTAAGCAAATAGCCCTGAGTCCCAATACTAGGATAAAAGAGGGATGTAAAGGAATAAAACAGGAACAGCAGCAACAACAATGAATATATAAAGGAAAACAAACGTCTGTGTGCAACACCAATGCTAAATGGGAATCACATACTTTCTTTCCAGAGACTGCTTCTCTTTGAGTAGGTCATTCAGTCTCTGTTCCAGTGAATCACATTTCTCAATGGTCTCTTTAAATTTAGACTTCATGTTGTTAATCTGGTTTATAAAAAAAAAGAACACACAAAGTGAGAGAAATTTCAAGCAGGCCAAAGTCCACATGGCAGTTTTCAGGGTGAGAGTTGAGGCTCCTGGAAAGATTGCTACACTCTTGGCCCCGTCCTAGATTCTGGAAATACATTTCAAGATAAAGGCAAAATGGGAGAGTGTGGGCTTGGACCGCTGCCCTTTGCAACCAAGATGCCACCCATCTCAGGGCAAACGCCTTCCCAAAATCCACCTTCCACTGACTCCTTCATTCTTAAGAATCACAATCAGACCTGCTATTTAAAAAGTAATCTTTAACTAGGAAGCTGGTGCTGGTTGCAAGCGGCAAAAGCAGTCAGCTTGCACAGAACTTGCTGGCAGAGAGGAGGGTCTGTCAGAGTTCCTGCCCCATCATTCAAAACAAAAAGCAAACTGAAATAGGTTTTGTCTTTGAAAAAAACTGCCACAGTCAGCAACGGGATCACAGGACTCCCTTCGGCTGGCACTGTGTTCTCCACCAAAGGCACACAAAGCAAAGAAGGAGAGTAAAAAGCCACCTGTGTGAGCTTTCGATTCCTGTTTCGTATCTGATGCCCACCAAAGATTATGCACTCCAGCAGCCACAAACTCTCGCTGACAGTCAGGGATTATGGGAGTTGAGGCCTGAAGGGGAACAAGTCGCCTACCTAAGACGCCCCCTACTGGAGGATTCTAATAAAGAACTGAGTGATGGGACAGAAGGCAACAAAAGACATCCCCACCAAGGCAGAGGTTTCATGCTTTGCCCCAGGAAGCCAAAACTATGCTACTAGTCCCTCTGAGGGATGGAGGGCCAGGGAAAACATGATGACTGTGATGGATGTTGGGCAAGTGGGCTTATTAACAAAAGACCCTCCTCATAAATGTACAGTCGAGTAACTTATTAGCAGCAGCGTGCCCCAGCACCAATAGCCTAAAGTTATCTCTTCCTTAGGAGGGTTTCTTTGTAGTAAAATAATATGGGTGCACTATTTACAAGAACTAGGTTTCCATAACACACACAAAAAAAACAAATACATAGTAGCTTTACACGCAGCAGCCTTCACACTGGAGCTTTCTCACACACAGAGGTTTACCTCACACTCCACAGGACGACACTAGCTTTGGCCCACTAATTCTAACAGGCTTTGGCCTACTAACTCTTTAAGTGTTTGACTCACTTTTTTGGAATCAAAAATACCCAGTTATTTTTTAATATTTCTGACAATGAACCTGCATGCAGACTTCATTTAAGGCAAATCTAGGCATTCAGGGGGTGGAAGGAATGGTGGCACGCACTTGTTCACTCTCCTACAGCTCTGCCTTTAGCTTGCTATCCTCGAGGCCAGAGCTGTCAAACTTGTAGCCCTCCAGGTGTTTGGTCTTCCAACTTTCAGAAGCCCTAGCCAGCTTATCCAATGGCCAGGGATTCTTGGAGCTGAAGTCCAAAACACCTGGAGAGCCACAAGTTTGATACCTCTGCTCTCGATAAATGCATTCCTGTCCACGATGGACTCACCTCTTCGGCGGTATCCTTCTCTATTCGGACAATCTTGTTCTCCCAGTAGATACGCTGGGACTCCAACTGACTTGTCAGCAAGTACGAGTACTGCATTCAGTGGAGAAAGAAAGACATGGAAATGTCATGGATGTAGGCAGGAAGAGACCACCTACCTTCTTGGGAGGTTGGGAAGCCTGCAGACCCCCAGGGCTCACTGGGCGGCCACTTCCGACAGCCCCAGCCAAGGAAGAGGAATGCTGGGAGCTGTAATCGAACATCTAGACTACCAGAGGGGCCTCAATCGTGACCTGCAGTGAACTCTTCTTTCACAATGGTCTGCAAATGCTGCTTTTTACAACTGTTCTTGCCATGGTTTTAAATGCCCTGCTATTGAGACATTCCTATGCTTGTACCTTTTTCTAATTTATGTGGGAGTCCCCCCAGACCCAGTGTGTGCATAAAACCATGGGAAGAGAAATCTAAGCTTAATAACCCACAGAAAAACTCAGAAAGGTGTGACTGGAAAGGGCAAGTTCCCTCAGCACTCGGGCTCATTTTGTATGGTTCCAGCACAACTCATTTCTTCAGGACTATGCCAGCACAAACACAGACTCCGCACCTCAAAGAAAGCAGCCAGCTTCAGGGTGGCAACCGAGGAACTCTCCCCAGGGCACCCATGGCGTTAGCCAGGGAAGAGACACAAACAGAACGAATGCTAAGGCCAAAGCAGGCTTACCTCTAGCTGCAAGGCATCGATCTTCTCCTCCTGGCACACCTCCCCCTCGCACTCATACTGGACTAGCTTTCCATCGGTCTTGCTGGCCACCAGCCGGTGGACGTAATTGTCTAGAGAGAAAGGCAACAACCTTGCTGGTCATTGGAGGCAAGTTTCTAACAACTAGAGGAGAAGAGGTTGGTTCTGAAGAAAGCCAAAGGGGAAGGCGGATAGAGGCACCTGTGCAAACCCTTTCCACTCTTTGCCAATGCAGAGAGAAAGCCTCACTCGGCTGAGAGCCCCACAGCTCCTTCCAATCTCATCCTACAGAATGGGGACAGGCCCTGGAGAGTTCAAGGGAGGCAGAATGCAAAACCCCAAAGGGAGCTGTGCTCTGGCCAGGATTCTCCTGCCTTCACTGAAATCAACATCATTTTTTTCAACATGTAAAGAGGGAGGTTTACTATTGTTGGAACCCAACCCTATCCTGCACAAGTTTGTAGCCTTCATCAAGGAAACAGACAGGCAAACGGGTTTGCTGGCAGGGAAAGCCCTTCCCCCATTGCCCTCTTTATCTGCCTCTCTCTCTCAATCTTTCTCTTCTTTGTTACACTGATACTTCTCAGGGACATGCCACATGACAATCCTCTGAGTCTTCACTTTTGTTCTTCTCCTGTGAGCATGGAGAAAGCCAAGGTGTCTCCAGAGAAACAGTTAGGTAGCTAGGACCCCACTTTCCTAGATACAAATGTAGTTCTTTCAATAAAGTCTTTTGTAACTTTTAGCACTTCACTCTGCTCTTGTAAATTGCTCCACTGCTAGGCTCAAGAAGCTTCTGATCTGCTGAAACTGCTGCTGTTGCTGCTTTACACTGTAAATGCTTTTTCCTTTTTGAAACAACCCAACAAATATTGCCCTTTTCATTTTTCAAAAAAGTTCCTTGCTGCCACAAGTGGCTTAAAGGATGGGGAAATACCTCCTGCATAGTCCCAGACCCGGTGGTTGGTCAGCTGCATGGCATAGGTGTGTTGAGTCTCTTCAAAGTGCTTGTAGGCATGCCGACTCACGTAGCGCCCGCAGCCAATGTGCCCACAGATCAGGCAGATCCATAGATTCTGTGGGAGATATGTGTTATCTGAACTAAGACACTGGAAGAGACCCTTAGGGGAGGATAGGTTGGTGTTCCCATGTCGACACAGCTCTCCTTGCAAAGCCAAGGCTCTCCTGACAAAGAGAGAATGCCAATGGCCCCTTCCCTGGCCACTCCCTCCCCAGACCCACTCACTTCTTGGACACCACACTCAAAGCACTTGTTCTCCTCAACAGGTTCAGGTGTCTGGCAATACCGGCACACAGGACACCTGGAAGAGAAGGGAGAGGACAGTTACTAATCCAGGCCAAACACACTGTGGGCATGGGTAGGTACTGGTCCACTGCCTCCTAATGATTGGAGGTAGTGGATCACCACAGTGCTCACACAAAGCTGACCTTCCTGGATATTCAAGCCTCCAAGAAGCTGAGCTTACCTGGTGAGCATTGGAGAGCCTGCAAGGGGAGTTCAACTATCTCATTCCAATCCCACTTTGCCAATCTTAATCCCACAATTTGAGCACAAAACACCTGCCACTATACCTCTTGGGAACAAGGAATTTTTCTGTGAGGAAGCCAAGCATCTGAATGGGCTAGCTCCCTGTTCACCTTTCCGAGGTGTATACTGATGGGCAAAATGAGCAGCCTAACTCAGATCCTACCCCAAACAGAGTACAAAAATATTTTCTGGAACTATCAAAGCCTTGAGCAGCACTGCATTACATCCAGAACAGCAAAACCTTTCCTCTGACAAATATACTTTTTTCTCTGCATGCTCCAGCTTGTGCCAAACAAACAGCTACCAAGTAGAAGAACATGACTATCTTACGTGGTGTCCTCCCAACGCTGCAGACATTGGCTATGGAAGCTGTGGTTGCAAAGCGTCGTAAGAATGCCGTTGACAGACTCATCCATTCGCTCCAAGCAGACAGTGCACTTTGGAAGCTCGGTTAGGTCCATGACAGGAAGACTGGCCCCCTTTGTGCAAAGAGAGAGACACCCTGATCAATGTAACAATTTCCAAACAGTGGCTATATCCAAGACAGCATATCGCAGTTATCAACCTGCTTTTATCAGGGCTTTTTTTTTTGTCCAACCACCATAACAGCATACTTGGTGAAAACTTGAGAGAGGGCCTTTTTGGTGGCTGCTCCCAGGCTGGCACTCCATCCCACAGGAAGCAAAGCTGGTTCCTCTCCGAGCTTGATAGTCAGCTGATATGCTTGAAGAATTCAATCAAGCTCTTCCCTTTCATCAGAAATAGGTGGTTCTGTTTATGAAGCTAGGAGGCAAGTTCTTCCAAGGCCAAAGGGTCTGCATCCAGGGAAGATGCTGAATTCCATTAAGAAAAGATAAGAGAAGGAAGAGGACACTTACATCTTCTGACTTGAAGACTTCTGCCCTCTCCACATAGACCAGCTGACAAACATCCTCTTCTATGGAGTTAAATTGCCGGCCATTGCAAGCTATATAAAAGCTATCCGCATCAGCCTATAAGTGAAAAAGAGAGATTGAGAAATTCTGGTGGAAAGGATATAGACTGTTACAGTAAAAAATCAACTGAAGTAGTTCCCACCAAAGGCACAAGCTTATATGAAGGGACAAATAGAGAGAGAGAGAGCAACCCCACTCAGAATCAAGAAGCTTCATCTTTGGGAAGTCAATTTCTATCCTTACAGTTTTCATAACCTACCTTCACATGCATCAGATTTCAAACTCATGTTGGAAAACATTAACTGCATGCTCTCAATATTAAGAAAGAGCTTAATAAGCAATTAAGACTCCCAGGTTGCAGAATGCAGTTAACAGCCACCTGCACGCTTTCAAGGTCCCTCCCTACCTAGGGTTTGCCAAACGGGTCACACTGCATCCCTGAAGATACAATTCCACTTTTCTTCTTTTGCTGAATTTCCTCAACACTTCACCAGAAATTATCTCCTGAAGCCTTGCTTTTTATCACTGTAGTGATCAGTAAGATCACTCTCTCTCACACACACACACACACATCATACCCTTCCAAACATCTAAACTCAATCATGCAGACAACTGGAAATGGTTCCGGCCACCTTCCATAATTTCACTTCAGGGCCATTTGGAGCAGGAAGTCAGACAGTTTCAATCAGCAACTGGATATGGGGTTGAATGCCTTGAGAACAGAAGGGCTGACAAGAAGAGCGGTGTTTTCCTGTAAGAGCCAGGCTCTCCTTTCCCCAAGGAGCACAAAGACGCACAGGCTTCCTGCCACACCAACTTATCCTCTCAGCAACCCTATGAAACAAGTGAGGTGAAAAGAGAGCTAGTCCAAGGTGAGCTTTGCAACCAACTGACGACTTGGACTTCAATCTCCTGGCCCTGGGTTCCCTCCAAACATTTTCACATAAGGAAGCTGTGAAGTGTAGAAACAGGTGGGCAGTGTCGCTTTTTCAAATGCTCAAGGCCCTAGAGAGGATATGAGGTTGGGAAGGAGGTTTCTTTCCACCAAACCAGCCAGTCATGTTATTGTCTTTACCTGTGTGCTAAACTTGATCAGGGCCATGTATTGGTTTGGGGTGGAGTCTCGGATGATCTTCATGTGCTCAATGACATCGTAGAATGAAGCCACAAACTTCATGAGGTCGTGGCTGGTCATGGTGGCAGGAACTGTGAGAATACACAGCATGGCACTGCGACGCACGTCTTCCTTCAAGGAGGTCATCTTGCTGCATGAGGCAAAAAAGAGGAGAGTCAGGAAAGTGTTCATTCTGAAAGGTTCAACCAAACAGCTGAAGCATAAGTTTCCAAAGAGTTCCTCTGCATTGAAGGGTGCAACCAAAAAACAGGTAATTATCTTGCATCTGTTGCTTCCTGTCTGAGCAGAACCACTGATCAATTTGTTATGGGGTAGCAAATCATACCAAGTTTGGTTACCTGCAACTGTTATGGCGTTTAAACTATATCACAGGAAGATGTGACTCTGTTTTCTCAAAAGGATCAGTCATAGCCTCTACACCTAACAGGGAAGGAGCTAAGAGCGTCAACAAAGCTCTAGACTTGTTGGACTACCATTCCCATTATCCTACAGCCAGAAGCTATGGCATATTTTAGATGCATACAGAGCAGAAGAAGGGCCTGCCAATTCTGCCTATGATCCTCAAGCCCTAAGCACAAATTACTGTTTCTGGAAGCTTTTTGGAACTGGGTTGTTGTAGGTTTTTTGGGCTATATGGCCATGTTCTAGAAGCATTCTCTCCTGACGTTTCGCCAGCATCTGTGGCAGGAATCCTTCTTGGAACAGTAATTCAAACTTTAAATGTGTTGAGTGGCTATTTAATCCAAACACACAATACCCATTTTCACAACTGGATGTCTAAACACTCCTGGTCTCATTTTAATTCAAAGTTTGCTCCCTCTGCCCTAAAATTTACCAGAATCTATACCCGAGAATATTCCAGAAATATCTCCAACTGCAGAAATCCCAAGTCCACTATTTTTGTTGGAGACTTTTTTAAAGGAAATTCAAAAAAGCCCACAGCCTAAAGCATATAGCACACAATTCTTCACTGCAGACATCACAGACCTTAAAGCAAGTCACAAGATCACTACTCAACAATTGGATAATAATGAACTAAAATCAGTCAACGAGTCACTTCTTCCTAAGGAACCCTCAAATTCAAGTCTGGCTTGAAAAGGTGAATCCAGAGCTGCTTCATCTCAAATGAGTCCACCATCCAACCCACGCCTGTCTACTCTGGTAGGCAGCCTCTGTCCTGGCTCTTAGGCAGAGAGAAGTCTTTCCAGGCCTCTCCTGTGTACTCTTTTGGCCTCGAGATGCCAGGGATTGAACTTTGAACAATCTCCCCACAAGACAGAAGACCCGACCACTAAATTAATGGCTCTGTCCTCAAAGGAGTTTCACAACCACAGAGTCACCTGAAGCTGTAAAAAGAGGGAAGGCACTTTTGTCTTACTTTGTCTTGTAGAGATGCATGATGCCATGGACTATTTCAACAGACGGGTTGCCACTAAAGAAAGAAATCTGGTCTGGCAGCTGCTTGGAAGGGGAGTCCAGCATAGTCCCAAGGCTAGTGCTTTGGCCCTCGTGTTTGCCTCGGTCCTCTGCAGAGGAGGTCTCGGAAGCTTTGCCTTTTTCCATTGCCACTTTCACTTCATCTGCTTTAGGATGCCAGAATTGTGCAGGTTAGAAATTGGGTCACTTTCATCAATTTTGCAGAGGTGCAATTTCCAGGGCACATGTTCTGTTTATGAGCACAATGTAACATTTCATACATACCTGTATCAGGCTTGAGGGTCTCAATGATCATATCTGTCATCTCTCTGCGACCAATGTGCTGGTGAATCAAGGAAGCTCTTTCCACAGCCGCTTTTCCTTCCAAGGAGGCTGTGGCGACGGCTAGTGATTTCTCCTGGATTTCCTCATCAGACATTTCAGTGGCTAAGCGGAAATAGTGATTCATGCCATTAAAATAGGTACTCACAGACTCCAGAGCAAAACAACCACAGCCAGACAAGACCTGCAAAACCTGAGTGGTGACAAGTCAATTAAAACTGCATCAGTGCTATTAATTCATTGAAGGTTTTTTTTTTCCCATGTCCTCTCTTCCCTACCACTCCACATTCTTATCACCTGAGCAACATCTATGATCCAGTTAAGCACCTCTTAAGCGACACTTCTAAAATAAATTGGAGGAATAACATCAGGAAGCTCACCATTACAGACACTCGCTATAGCCACAGAGGCATCTGGGCTTTTCTCCTTAGAATAATGAATAAAGGTTGAATTTTGTTTAACTTTGTTATGGAAAGGCATGTTATGTTCTCCTCCTCCTCCTCCGTTTCTAATGCTTTCCCCAGCCCTCTGTTGCTACTCTTGAATGTTATCAACAGTTTGTAACATACTGTGACTTGAACAGACAAAGAAAAGAAACATGGTGGGGCCAAAGTGAATCTAGAAGCTGCACCTTAAAGGCTTGTTGATATCCATCTCCTTGGGGTGACATTATAGCCACAGGTACTGATGCATAGTTATAGGAGAGTGGGGACATGCCAGCTCTCACTCTGGCCATAAATCTATGTAAAATCATACAGGTCTTTCAAGTATCCAGTATATTAGTACTCTAGTGAATGAGGAAGCAATAAATCTGCTTTCCAAGAGGTCCTTTTGCTGGGCGTCCAAACCTGTGACTTTACTATCACTCCACTGTCTGCCTGCAGGAGTGGACTGGTATCCATGAAAGCTCATGTTAAAGTAAACCAGTTAGTCTCAAAGGTCTTGTTAATCTTACCCACACACCTTCCCTCTTTTTAATGACGACACAAACTAACAAGGGGATCTAGTTGAAGACTGATATCTGCAATGTTTGGAACTCAGGAATCAGATTTTTGTCCCACCCACTTCTTCTGTCATTGAGCTTGATACCGAAGAAAACCAGGCCTTCTTTGCTGTACTTCAACCCATCCATTATCAATGTTTGCCATGAAGCCCACACCCTAAAGCAGGCATGGGCAAACTTGGGCTCTCCCTCTAGGTGTTTTGGACTCAGCTTAAGCGGATGAGGGGGGAAAGGAAGGGGCCTGAGCCTGTTAGGAATTGTGGGAGCTGAAGTGCAAAACACCTGGAGGGAGGGCCCAAGTTTGCCCATGCCTGCCCTAAGGCATTACTCTGCTTTGTTGCATGGTCCGGCCTTATGTTGTTTGTGTTTGTTATGAAACAGCCTCTCCTGGATTGGTGTCTGTAGCACAACATAGAAATAGAACATCTTTTTATATAAAGAGGGTCTAAGAACTTTGGGTGCAGAAACCAATTTGCTTTCTCCATGCAATTCCAACACATCATGCACAGTAACACTAATTGTAACCTATCAACTCTTCTCACCATGGATTTAACCCTATTTATAATAGATTAGTCACAGTAACTTTGACAATTGAGGACAGGGAAGACCAAAACAAGAGAAAGCACTACCAGCAGATTTCAAATCCCAGAATGCCTGACTATGAGCCATTCTGGCTGAGGCTTTTGGAACTGAAATTTAAATATAAATATATAATATTCCTCAATGCTGGAAATCACCTGTTTCAATGGTCTCAGGACCAAGTGACATATCTGATGTTAACAGTAACTCCAACCACTATTTCTGCTTGATCAATACTACATATTTCAAATAGCAGTTTCTGGCAGAGAAGAGCCTTTCTCCGGCCATCATCCAAGCACCTTTTGTTTAAAGCATGTGATTTGGTTATGCTTTCCTCAATACATTAGGCATTCTCTTCACAACAGAAAACCCCTGGAGCCATTTATCAACCTGACTTTAAAGCACACATAGCAAATTTGCCTAAATACCAGGGCAGTAGCTTAAGTGCTGGATTGCCACTCTGGAGACCAGAATCCAACACCCCGCCTGTCCTTAAAAGCCCATGGAGCAATCCTGGGCAAGTCACACACTCCCTCCGTCTTGGAAAGAGGCAAAGGCAAACCCAGACTAGAAAACACTGCCGTGGGTTTGTGGGGTCACAGAACCAGATACAAATTGAAGACACACAGCACCAGCCAAAGTAACCTCCTGCTGCTCCGCCATTTATCCTTTTTCTGAGTTGCGCCACAGCTTGACTCGTTAATTTTGTTCAAAGAGCCACCAGCAAACTGAAGACATACAGATGAGATGAACACAATGAGACGAGGGAGAACACCACCCTGGCCTTGTGTGCCTCATGTAACACCATAAACAGAGTCCCACACAGGATGTTAAATCCCCTTTCCCCAGCCGGAAACCTTCCAGTCAAGTGAGACTCCACCTCCCATTATCCCTGGACAAGAGAGATTGCCATATTTATTTATTTATTTATTTAATCTACTTATACCCCGCCCTTCTCACCCCGAGGGGGACTCAGGGCGGCTTACAGGAAAGGCACAATTAGATGCCCAAAACACACAACAAACAATACAAAATATAACAATTCAACAATTAAAATAAAACATCAATACCTAATAAAATCATAAAAACTATCTCATGTCAGAGTCCATATATCAGAGTCCATATATCCATTCCATTCCATTGTCCTTGTCTATCGACAGGTCCTTTAGTTAGTTGTCAGCATGGCCAAAAGCTTGAGTCCCACATCCAGGTCTTTAGTTTTTTCCTAAACGCTAGAAGGGAAGTCGTCGATCTGATCTCCCCGGGGAGTGAGTTCCACAGGTGAGGGGCCACCACTGAGAAGGCCCTGCTCCTCGTCCCCGCCAGCCTCACTTGTGCCACTGGCGGGGTCGAGAGCAGGGCCTCCCCAGAAGATCTTAAACTTCGAGGTGGGATGTAGAGGGAGATCCGTTCGGACAGATACACTGGGCCGGAACCGTATAGGGTTTTGTAGGTCAAAACCAGCACTTTGAATTGTGCTCGGAATTGGATCGGCAGCCAGTGGAGCTGACGCAACAGGGGGGTGGTGTGCTCCCTGTACGCCGCTCCGGTGAGCAATCTGGCTGCTTCTCGCTGGACTAGTTGAAGTTTCCGAGCAGTCTTCAAAGGCAACCCCACGTAGAGTGCGTTGCAGTAATCCAACCGGGATGTGACAAGAGCATGGACCACTGTGGCCAGATCTGACTTCCCAAGGTACGGGCGCAGCTGGCGCACAAGTTTTAATTGTGCGAAAGCTCTCCCGGCCACCGCTGAGACCTGGGGTTCCAGGCTCAGCGATGAGTCCAGGATCACTCCCAAGCTGCGAACCTGCGTCTTCAGGGGGAGTGTAACCCCGTCTAACACAGGCTGTAACCCTATACCCTGTTTGGCCTTCTGAAATCCACCAAGATGAAAAAAGCTGCTATGTGTGTGTGTGTGTATATATATATATCTCATAATATGTATGTATGTATATATGTATGTGCCTACCTATGTTTGTATGGAAAGGCAGTCCCTGAGTTACAAACATCACAGTTAAGAATGGGGTGAGACAACAGGAAGGGGGAGAAATCCACCCCTCAGCAGGGAAATCCACTCCTGGAGAGTTATTATCATGGGGGGAAAATGTCTCAATTGAAGCTCTATCACTGATCCTTGTTTCCATAAGCCAAATTTATCAAAATCCAATTATCACAGGGACAGAAAGTGGGGTGAACTCTTCTGAACAGGGACAGACAGCAAAGGAAACCCCACAGGGGTGTTCACCCTTCCCTATGTGATCCAAAGTTAAACAAATATACACATTTGACACTTCAAAAAATGTCCCTGCTCCAACTGACAAGTTCAACTTAAGAACAAACCTCCAGAAACAATTTTGTTTGTAACTTGGGACTGCCTGTATTTTCAAAGATGGCTCCCACATCCAGAGAACCCTGTGACTCCCACCAACAACAGACCTGAACCACAAAGACACACCCACGACCAACTTTAAGTAATGTCAGGGTTGGGTGTGTGTGTGTGGGGAGGACGATAGGAGTTGTAGTATGGCCAACAATCTAAGAGATCTGTGAATCCCACCAAGGATGGATCTGAACCAAACTTGGCACAAAGACCCATCAGGACTGACTGGTGTGGTTTTGCTGCCAATGACAGATGATGACGAGAGTTGTTGACTCATATACTTACCCATTTTCTAATGGGGCCATGCATACTATCCACCTACTAACTAAGCAGACATAGCAGGCATGGACAAACTTCAGCCTTCCAGGTGTTTTGGACTTCAACTCCCACAATTCCTTACAGCCTGTAGGCTGTTAGGAATTGCGGGAGTTGAAGTCCAAAACACCTGGAGGGCAGAAGTTTGCCCGTGCCTGAGATATAGAGATCTCCCCGGAGGAGAGCACCCTGTGAGCCCACTGCACTACAATTCCCAGCACTCACCCGCTTCCCCCAGAAGCCAGGAAAACTGAGGACAAACAAGAGGCACAACAAGCAACTCCCCCTCCCCCCCGGCTCTGACTCCCAGCAGCCCCAAACAACTTGGCCGACGGCCAGGCCAGCTGGGCGATGGAGCCGCGACCGCAGGGGCGGGAAGTGAGCGCCCCCTTCCCATCTCCCCCTCCCTCGCTCACCGGCCGCGCTGTAGGGGAATCCGCCGGGCAGGGGCGAGCTCTCGGCCAGCTCGAGGCGCAGCACCACCAGCGACACACTCATAGGGCCCGCCAGCGGAGGGCGCCCGGAGCGGCGGGGCCCGCGGCTTGGCACCGGGACCACCACCTCCACCACCTCCTCCTCCTCCTCTCTGCCCCGCCGCTCCGCGATTGTGAGCCACTTCCGCCTCCTCCTCCTCCCCCTGCTGGCCCCACGACCTTTGACTCCTCGAGGGTGGGAGGAGTGGTTGGCCGCATGCGCTGGGAGGGGGCGGGGCTTGCGACTGGTGCCAGCAGGGGATCGCGGAAGGGGAATCGAGGGGGATCCCTCAGCGCCAACGAAGGAGTCAGACGGCGTGGCGGTTAGCCCAGCTCGGAGGCACGATGGGAGTTGTCCTCCAAGACATGTTAGGGGCTAGGGTGGCTTCAACTGTGCCTGGATTCCGAAAGGGGCTGATCTGGCCCTGTGGCCCACAGAATAAGGACAGGGCAAGGGGAAGGAAGCTCAGGGTTAGGGACCCCCCAAGCAACTGGAGTCTGTATTGTGGGGGAGGCGGGGGTGAGGTTTCTGGGCTGTGTTACCAATGTGTTCCAGCAGCATTTCCTCCTGAGGTTTGGCCTGCATCTGTGGCTCCTGGCATCTCTTGAGGGACTCCCTTCTCCTGGCCCAGAGCCTTGGGAACCCCCACCCCTCTCACCAAGCCTCTCCTGGGCCGGACTTTCCTGGGCCATTCTCCACTCCAAGTCACAATGTAGGCCTGTAGTTCCCCGTGATCCTCAGAGAAAGGCTCAGAGACTAGGGGGCCTCGGCTGAGGTTGCCAAGGAAACTCAAGGAGGCTTGAGTCAAGGTCCAAAGTCCCTCCTGCTGAGAAGCAGTGTCCCTGGAAGGGGCAGCAGCGGGAGGGAGGGAGACAACAGGGTGGCCACCCAAGGCCTGGGCCAGAGGGTGAGGTGGCCCATGATCCCAGCCCAGGCCCCTCAAGCATTGCTCTCTTCCTCTGCAGACACAGCTCAGGAGCATGGCGGGGAGGAGGCTTTTCCAAGCCCTTTACAGCCCCCACCGCAGGAGATGGCGACTCCTCCAGCGGCCATGGCACATATCTCCCCACCCGGTTCCATGGCGGGCTTTGGCCTCCTGTCCATACAGAGCGGTGATCTTCAACATGGGGGGCGTGCTCCTTCCTTCGCCACTGAGGCTAGCCACAGGTGAGTCTGGCCCACAGTCTGGGGGCCCTTCCAGGCAGGCCCTATTTCCCACGATCTGATCCCAGGTTTTCTGTTTATCCCAGATTATCTGTCAGTGGGGACTCATATAATCCAGTTTAAAGCAAAAAACAAAAACAACCCTGGGATATAAGGCCTGTCTGGGGCTTTTCTCCATTGGATCAGCCAAATACTATCGAGCTCCCAAAGGGGAATGCAGAATCTCTGTGTTAATTGCTTCACTTTCACCATTCAGTAGTTTCTCCATTTTTATTGCTCTCTGACTTCACCAGCCACAGTCCCACCTGATAACCTGAAATCCCGAGGAGGAAAGAAAACCCATGTGCCTGAGTGCATGCAAACTCATGATATCAGGAATTGGTTTAGTCTTGCTGTTAAGAGGAAGGTTAGAGGGCTGATTCAAAGTCCAAACAAGCCGTTAAGCCATCCATACATAGAGGCCTTCTGAAACCACGCCGAGGCAATGTAGCTGAGCAATAAGTCAATGGCAGGCATGCAGGCTCATCAATTAAGAGCAAACATTGTTTTCAAGTGATGTCCGCCATGCTTGTTCTTTGTATTTCACGCTGGTGTTCAATATGGTATCCTTTCTCAGCAGAATGCATCACAGTGCTCAGAATGTCTTGGAGGGACCTTTTCTTCAGCATGGCTCTCCCTTATTTTGGTTGCTCTTTGAGCTTTCCATATGAGGCTGGATCTACACTGCCATATAATCCAGTATCTGATTTCAGATTACACATTGTTCCTGGGTTATAAATGTCATTTCTTAACTGATTCTATCACAAAAACATGGTAAACTGCAAAAAAAAAACAAAAACCAAAACACCTTTTCACATTGAATGGATTAAAATTACATATTTTTATTAAGGAAAATTACAAACTGTGGCAGCCACAAAAACAATGACATTTCTAGAATAGAACAAGTACTTTCAAATTAAGTACCGCACAATTAAACGGGAAATAACAATTTCAGACCAGGAACAGAACACTTTTCAAATTTGGTTACATAGTGTGCTCTACTTTGAAATGGATTATATGAGTCTACACTGCCGTATAATCCAGTTCAAAGGAACAATCTGGATTTATATGGCAGGGTAGATGGGACCTCAGTGGACCAAAGCAAACCAACCTATTTGGGTTTCAATGTCATACTAACAACCTTGAGAGAAACCTTCCTACACTTCAGAATGGGAGGGGAGCCATTATTGTATCAGGAGCGAACCAAAACAGTTGTATTGCATTAAAAAACAAACAAACAAAACACAAAGTTTGCAGACTTGGAATTCTATTAAATGTCCTTTGACCAGTAGCTGGCCACTTAGAGTGCCTCTGGTGTTGCTGCAAGAAGGTCCTCCATCGTGCATGTGGCAGGACTCAGGTTGCATTGCAGTAGGTGGTCAGTGGTTTGCTCTTCTACACACTCGCATGTCGTGGATTCCACTTTGTAGCCCCATTTCTTAAGGTTAGCTCTGGTGGTACCAGAGCACAGTCTGTTCAGTGCCTTCCAAGTCGCCCAGTTTTCTGTGTGCCCAGGAGGGAGTCTCTCATTTGGTACCAGCCATTGATTGAGGTTCTGGGTTTGAGCCTGCTACTTTTGGAATCTCTCTAGCTGAGGTGTTCCAGTGAGTGTCTCTGTAAATCTTAGAAAACTATTTCTTGATTTAAGGCATTGGCGTGTTGGCTGATACCAAAACAGGGCATGGACCAGAGATGTCACTGCCTTGGTTCTTTCACTATTGGTTGCTACTCCCCGGCCCATGTCAGGTGGTGCAATACCAACTAAACAGTGTAATTTCTCCAGTGGTGTAGAGCGCAGACACCCCGTGATAATGCGGCATGTCTCATTAAGAACCACATCCATAGTTTAACGTGGTGAGATGTGTTCCACACTGGGCATGTATACTCAGCAGCAGAGTAGCATAGCGCAAGGGCAGATGTCTTCACTGTATCTAGTTGTGATCCCCAGGTTGTGCCAGTCAGCTTTCATATGATATTGTTTCTAGTGCCCACTTTTTGCTTGATATTCAGGCAGTGCTTCTTGTAGGTCAGAGCACGGTCCAGGGTAACTCCCAGGTATCTGGGTGTGCTACAATGCTCCAGTGGGATTCCTTCCCAGGTAATCCTCAGAGCTCGGGATGCTTGTCTGTTCTTAAGATGAAAAGCACATATCTGTGTTTTAGATGGATTAGGAATCAGCTGGTTTTCCCTGTAATAGGCAGTAAGAGCACATAGAGCTTCGAAGAGCTTCTGTTCAACCATCTCAAAGCTCCCTGCTTGAGTGGTAATGGCACGATCATCAGCATAGATGAAACTCTCTGTCCCATCTGGCAATGGCTGGTCATTTGTGTAAATGTTGAACATGGATGGAGCAAGCACGCTTCCCTGAGGCAGGCCGTTCTTCTGTTTTCGCCATCTGCTTCTTTGGCCGTGGAACTCAACAAAAAAGCTCCTGTTTTGTAGCAGATTTCCTGTGGTAATCCTTTGTGGTATTATACATTTTTCTCAGGAGGATGCGTTGGGTTTGAGCCTGCCACTTTTGGACTCTCTCTAGCTGAGGTGTTCCAGCGAGTGTCTCTGTAGATCACAAGCCGCTGACAGGTCTATGAAGACAGCTCCTGTGATCTGCTGCCTTTCAAAGCCATTTTCTATGTACTGAGTCAGGTTCAGCACTTGTGACGTGCAGTTTTTGCCTTTCCTGAAGCCAGCTTGCTGTGGAAACAGACATGGGTCTATTTTTTCCATAATTCTATGCAAAATAAGTCTCTCCAGAACTTTATAAAGATGGCATAACAAGGAGATTGGTCTATAGCTTTTTGGATCATTACGGTCTTTGCCTGGTTTCAAGATGGCTATGACTCTTGCTTTCCTCCAGATTTTGGGGATTTAACAGGATGCAGTACAATTGTTCATCAGCTCCAGCAGCCAGCACCTTGCTTTTGGACCAAAGTTCTTAATTTGTTCCATCCGTAGGTTAGGAGATGACTGAATGAGGGTTGGCCATCTGAGGAACCGCAGATTCTATTTTAAAGTATCACAACCCACTGCTGGTCTTGTATGTTTTGTCGCTTCTATGCTACTTGATGATATTGTATGTGCTATTAGTACACAGGACATACTTTGGATTGCTTCCACATCTCTGTACCCCTTTTGAGAGACCTATGTTGGTTCCTGACCACTCTGCCTTTCTTTCTTTAGACTGGGAGCTCCGGCTTGGTGTTCCCCCAGGGACCATCAGGCAGGCCTTCATCTCGGGAGGGGGCAACAGGCCCTGGATGAGGTACATGCGAGGGGAGCTGAGGCCGGCTGAGTTTCTGCAGGAGTTTGGACAGCAGTGTTCCAGGATTGTAAGCTTGGTTTCTTTCAGATAAACATGGCCTAGACAGAGGGGTTCTTGTATGAAATCCATTAGATTACATGGCAAAAAAGAAGTGAGAGGCCAAAAAGAACACAATTCTCTTATGGGCCTGCCTCTTTCTTTATCATGTGTGCATCCACTCTTTTCCCCAAGGAGCCTCTTTTAGCTTCAGCACAACCTTGTAAATCAGGCAAGGCTGAACGGATGCAGTTAAGTGGTGTTGAGCTCTTCTTTTTTTGCTTTCTAACTGCACTGGCTTTTTTCAGACTCATCTTATGCCCATTCCAGAACATTTGGTCCTTCTTTCTCCCCAGCTAGAGCCAGGGTGGGAAGAGCATTGCTCCCCAAGATTGTTGGACAGTAGCTCCCAGCATTCTTCGCCACTGGCTAAGTTGGCTCAGGCTGGTCAAAGATGGACTCTAGCCACGTCTAGAAAGCAGTTCAATTCTCAACTAGGAAATCATGCAGTATGTTAAAAATATAGCATGTTTTTTGGTGGGTTCTTGCCAAGAGGAGCATCTACATTATCTTCTCTTCCATACAAAATGTTTGACTGTGTCATGATCATGCCGTGCAATTATAAGTTGCTTACCTGTAACTGTAGTTTCCTGAGTAGTCACCTGTGAATTCGTACATTTGTTATCTCTGCGCCTGCGCAGTACAGCTTTCGGAACCTTCTAGAAAATAAAATAACATTTTAGGCCCTAGCTAGCCCCGCCCATCTCCCCCGAGTATATATAGCCCATGGGCGGGGCTAGCCGACAGTTCTCTTCCGCCGCAAAGCAGCCAGAAGGCGTGGCACGAACTTGAGGGGAGGATGGGCGGGTATGTACAAATTCACAGGTGACTACTCAGGAAACTACAGTTACAGGTAAGCAACTTATAATTTCCTGTCGTAGTCACTGTGAATCGTAGATTAGCGAGCTACTGACCTTGGATGGTGGGCGTCATGCCACCGCTGAAAAAAGGACCACTCTTCCGAATTGTGCGTCCCTCCATGAGACGACATCCAACTTGTAGTGGGCCACAAAAGAAAGAGGCGATGACCAAATGGCCGCACAGCAGATAGCATCCAAGGGAACGCCCCTCCAGAAGGCCACCGAAGTGGAAACCGACCTCGTAGAGTGGCCTGTAACAGGAAGAGGTAAATCCTTGCCCGCGAGGCGATAACACAACTGTATTGTAGACACGATCCAGGAGGACAGCCTCTGAGAGGAAACAGGAAAGCCTAAAGCGTCAGTGCGATATTTGACAAATAATCTGGGGGACTTCCTGAAAGACGCCGTCCTATCCACATAAAAGGCAAGGGCCCTACGGACGTCGAGCAAATGTAAACTTTTTTCCAGAGATGTAGTAGGGTTTTGGAAAAAAGAAGGTAATATCAAATTTTGAGAAACGTGAAACCTTGTCGAAACCTTCGGCAAAAATGCTATGTCAGTCCGCAACACTACCTTATCTCTGTGAAATTTGAGATATGGTGGGTCGGCTCTAAGGACACATAATTCGCTGGCCCTTCTAGCCGACGTGATAGTGACCAAAAAGGCCATCTTCCATGAGAGGCAAAAAAGGCTTGCAGATGCTAAGGGCTCAAAAGGGGGTTTCATTAAATAATTCAGCACAAGCTCTAAACTTCATGAAGGAGTAACCTGGATTACAGGGGTCTGGTATTCATAATCCCTCTCAAAAAAGTTTTAACCAAGGGATCTGCAAAGACAGGCCAGACTTTCTCCGAAACCACGAGATAGCGGCCAAGTAACACTTTAATGATGGGTATGACAAACCCGCATCCAACAGGGACACTAAAAAGTCTAAGACCAAGGAGATAGAGGTAGTATCAGGGTCCATCCCTTGAGCCCTGGCGAAAAAAGTAAACCGTGACCATTTCTAAAGGTAGGATCGTCTGGTAGACGTCCTATGTGCCGCTTCGATAATACTGAGCACTGAATGTGACAAACTCGAGAACAGGACTAATTGACGGGCAGGATCCGCCAAGCAGTCAGTCTCAGTTTGTGTACCTCTGGGTACAACACTTGGCCTCTTTGTGATGTCAATAGGTTTGTCCTGGCCGGGAGGCGAATGAAAATTCCCTGCGCCAACTGCCGCAGGGGGTAGAACCACGGTTGCCTCGGCCACCAAGGTGTCACCAATATGCAGTGGGCGTTGTCCCTCTGAGCCTTTGCAACGACCCTCAACGGAAGCGGGAACGGAGGAAAGGCATACGTCTTCCGACCCGTCCATGTGTGAAGGAAGGCGTCTCCCAGACATCCGTCCTGTAGTGAGGCATGCCTCCTTGCGCAAAAGAGGGGACACTTCAAATTGGACCGTGTTGCGAACAGATCCACTTCTGGGGGCCCCCACGCTAGGAACAGTCTCTGAGTTTCCTCCGGGTTCAGGGACCATTCGTGGTGCGCTAATGTCTCAGGGAGTCCGCTAAAAGATTCGATTCTCCTGGCACATGGGTCACTAGTAGGTGGATTCCCCTGTATATACACCAATCCCATATCTTCATGGACAGGGTCAGGAGGACCTGTTAGTGTGTCCCTCCCTGTTTGTTCAAGTAGTACATCACCGTGGTGTTGTCGGTGAGTACATGTATTACCTGACCTGTGACCACCATTTTGAAAGACTTCAAGGCCTTTTCTACGGCCAGAAGCTCTAGGGCATTTATGTGAAGAGTGCCTTCGAGCTTTGACTAGTTATAACTGTTGTAGTTATATTGTATTTTGTATATTGTACTTTGTGAATTGTTGGGCATCGAATTGTGCCTGTTTTTGTAAGCTGCCCTGAGTCCCCCCTAGGGGGTTGAGAAGGGCGGGGTAGAAGCACTCCAAATAAATAAATAAATAAATTTGACCAGGTACCATAAGCCACTAGCCCGTGGGAATGAGCGCCCCAGCCCGTGAGGGAGGAGTTTGTGGTGACCGTTCTTGTGGCGTGAGGAACGTGAAAAGATAGCCCTGAGCAAGCCCATGTTGGGTCCATCCAGCACTGGAGCGAGGAGCGGACGCACAAGGGGGGGGGAAAACTTTGTGGAAGGGTTGTCCAGCAACGGGTTGAAATTGGATAGGAACCAGAACTGGAGTGGCCGCATACGCAATCTGGAATAGTGGATGACCAATGTGGTCGAGGCCATGTGCCCCAACAAGACTTGGATTTGTTTGGCGGGCAACTGGGATGTCGCCGTGGCTTGCTTGACCAGGTCGTGGAAGTTGGCAAAGCGGTCCTCCAGGAGAAAGGCCCTCTCGGCAACGGAATCCAGGAGCGCTCCGATGAACTGGATATGCTGCGACGGCACCAAGACCAACTTCTCCCAGTTGACTACGAGCCCCAGAGACTGGAGAAGAGACAAAACCATGGAGACATGTTTTTGAAGCAAGTGGCAAGATTTGACGACTATCAACTAATCATCAATATGGGCGTTACGGTGTACCCCTGTACACCGTAACGCCCATAGTCCTAAGGTGCGCAGCGACCACGGCCATGCATTTGGTGAAGACCCGTGGGGCAGTGGAAAGACCGAAGGGTAACATATTAAAACAATAAGTCTGACTGCTAACTCGAAAGGAGAGGAATCTGCGATGACGTGGGGCAATAGAGATGTGGAAATATGCGTCCTTGAGATCAACGGTCGCAAACCAGACTCCCTCAGATAGGAGTGGGGTTATTGAATCAAGAGTCACCATATGAAATCTCTTGGGCTTAATATGTTTATTTAGTGCCCAAAGATCCAGAATTGGACGCAGTCCACCCCCGCGTTTGACAACCAGAAAATACCTCGAAAAGAAACAAAGGGGAACAATAGCGGGATCCACAAGCGATATGGCACCCTTTTGTAACAACATCTCAATTTCCTGCATCAGTTGCGGGGAGAAGGGGGTGTCCCGAACTTGGCCAACCCTAGGAAGGTCTTCAAATTCGATAGAATATCCCCCGGAAACAATAGACAGGACCCAAGTATCTGAGGTGATATTTGCCCATTCGGAATAGAAGGGAGCAAGTCTGTCCTTAAAGAAGGGCAATGGCCCAAAGGGGTCCTCTGAATCTGGAACATTTAAACAATGGGGAAAAGGAACCGTAACTGATGGTTCAACGTGGAAATTATGCGGTGGGTGGAGCGGGCTGTCCCCAGAGTCCGACTCGGGAACATCAAAGGCACTTCTTGGAGGCGCCTGGAGGTTTGGTTTTCCCCTGGAAGGGTTGTGTCCTAGCTTTCTGAAAATAAGGGGTTCGGTGACCTCCCTGGAATCTAGAACCGCCACTGGCCCTGCTCCTGAAGGGGCAAGGGAAGGAACTGCCAAAGGGTCTCTTGTAGGAAGGGGAAGACGATTGCCACCTGCTCTTTGGTTGTGAGTATGGTTGCCATGTGTAACCGAACTTATAGGCAGATTGTCTGACGTCCTGCTTTTGTTTAAGGCGGGTCGTCAATATTGGAGTTGAATAGGCCCTCTTCATGAAAGGGGGGGTCCTCAGCTAGCGCCTTTCCTTCCTCCGACAGGTTGGAGGCTCGCAGCCATACGTGTCTCCTTATAGAGGTAGTGGTGGCAAACAGATTGCCAGCCGTCTCCGCCATGTGTTTCACGAAGTCCTTTTGTAGTTTGGACAATGCTAGGGCCTCAGTTTGCAACACTCTTGGAAGGAGTTGATCATCTCTTGGCAAGGACTCAATATACGGTAACATTCGGTTCCAGAGGAAGGTCTGGTAACCGCTCATGTAAGTCGCATAGTGAGCCATGCGAGTATAAAGGCTGGCGGAAAAATAGACCTTTTTACCTAACGTGTCCAGCTTCCTACCCTCTCTATCGGGTGGTGTTGTTACAGAGTTCTTCGGGCGTTTAGTCTTTGTGACTTCTGCCACAACAGTGTTAGCTTTGGGCGGTGCCAAGACCCATTTAGCACTAGCAATATCAATTTTATACATAGAGTCTAAGCGCCTCGGAACGGCGGGTACCACAGAAGGTGACATATCAACCGCTTTAGCCAACTTCAATAGGTATGGGGAGGGCAGAGGAGGAAACCACATTTTGCTCATCCGAGGGGAACATCGGGTCCTCCACATGTTCGGGGGGCTTCGGGGCAGGAATATCCAATGCTTTTATCATTCTGTCCACCAGGGCGGCAAACTTATTGAAATCAGCAGGTAAGTTAGTAACAGTGTCCTCACCCCCCAGAGTTTGTGGGACATCGGGCGGTTCGGAGTTAGTGTCACTGTCTCTGAGTTCAATGGTGTCCTGGTTAGGAACATTGGGTAAGTCCATCACAGATGCCCCCAACGGGGTGGCGGTCGAGGACAGATGAGGTTGACCAGGGGCCGTCCCAGCAGAAAGGCACGAACTTCGGTCAATAGAGGTCAACACAGCGGAGGAACTACACAAACCCAGGTCAGCACAAGTTGTACCCACCATGGGCACGTTTGGGCGACACACAGTAAGGTCAACACAAGATGCCCTTCCTGAAGGCAAGCGGCCGTCCGCAGCAGAGGCAGCGCCTGAGCTCCGCGGTGTCGGTAGTGCAAGCATGGCTGACGTCGGAGGGGCTGATCCTGCATGAACAGGCCCTGTCCCCTGCCCTGCCAGGGCGGGGGGAGGGGGGCTGCTGGCATCGAAAAGGGTACCAGAGCTGGCACAAAAATAAGTTGTCCTGTTGGCCCCATTTGCCAGTACCCTGGCGGAGGCATCAATCCCAGCCCATAGGCCCTCCACTGAGCTGATGGAGAGCGGGAGAGGCGAGATTGCCGCTGACGTCTTGAGTAGGCAGAGGAGTATGAGGAGGAAGAAGACGAGGAAGCAGAAGAGGAAGAGGAGGAAGATCGGGCGCGCTGCCTACTCCTTGGAGAAGCTCGGTATCGTCGACGCCGAGAGCCTTTACTCCTTCTAGATGGGGATCGGGACCTTCTGGGCCGCTTGCTGGAGTGGTGCCGCAAAAAAGTGGAGTGGAGGTCTCAGCTGGGCTTGGTGGAAAGCAGAAAGAGGCGCCGCAAAAGGCACCGAAGGCGGGCCAAGGCTTTCCCTGGGAATCGCCTCCGAGATCGATGGAAAGTCAGAGGTAGCTGGTATCAGGGAGCCCGCCCCCATGAGAGGGGCATTGGTGGCAGTAGGAGGGGCGTTGAAGACGCCCCCAGACGCCTGGCTGCCGGATGGGATCGGTTCCAGTGGTGGCGTCGCGGAAGGGATCGCAGGCATCGGCTCCCCTAGCGCGGTATCGCGGAGACTCTTGCGATCCTGGGGAGATAACACGGGCATCGTTGGAGTCAGCACGCTTCCAGAGACGGGCTCCTCCGACCTCGGCCGCGGCGTCCAGGCCGGCGTGGCATCCGCCCCCTCGGTAGGTGCGCTGATCACCCCTAGGGGTTGCGCCGGTTCCCCCTGAGCCCCCGACAGGAGGGGGGGAGGAGCAGAAGCGGCAGAGGAGCTTCCCGCCTTTTTGGGAGCCGCTTTTATTGCTGGAGCTGTCCGGCGGCCATCTTGTAGGCCCTTCTCCTTTGGCCTTTTTGATTTCTTTTTGGCCAAATCTTCGGCTCAGCCCAGAAAGGGCAAGGAAGGCCCCACCAGAGGAGTCGCCTGCCCCGAGGGGCCCTGAGTTAGGAGGGTTCTCTCATAAAGCGCTGCTTTGAGGCTCAACTCCCTGTTCTTCCTGGTCTGCGGGGTGAAGGCCAAGCAGACCGAGCAAGACTGGGTGAGGTGACCCTCTCCCAAGCATGCCAAACACAATGAGTGCCCATCAGTGTCAGGGAGGGTGTTGTGGCAGTTAGAGCACCTCTTGAAGGAGGTGGTAGACATGGTGACAGGGCGGGAGCGTAGTCGAGCGGTCCGGGTCAATATAGGAGAGAATCAAGGGTGGTCAGGCAGTCCGGGTCAAGTAACGAGGTGGAAAATAGAGTCCAAATCACAAAACGAATACCTTAGTCAAAAAAACAGTTCAGTCGAAAGCCTAAAGTTTGAATAGATGAAGCTCGCAAGGGAGAGAGGTTCTCAAGCTGCTGCCAAATAGCGCGGAAAAGAGAACTGTCGGCTAGCCCCGCCCATGGGCTATATATACTCAGGGGAGATGGGCGGGGCTAGCTAGGGCCTAAAATGTTATTTTATTTTCTAGAAGGTTCCGAAAGCTGTACTGCGCAGGTGCAGAGATACCAAATGTATGATTCACAGTGACTATGACAGGAAACTATCAGCCCCACCCCAGTAGTAACATAAAGCACATGGCCTATGGCCAAAAGGGAGGACAGGATGCTCCAAGAATACATGAACTGGCCATAAAAGTCCATTGCCCTGAGGTGGGAGAAGGTGGGCTCTGGTATGTGGGAAAGGGCAAGCACTAGGCACCAGGGCTCTTGGGTGATTTATGGTATTGTAGCTAAGGCCCCATATAGACAGGCAGTAATGCCAGACTTTTGTATTCCGAACAATAAAGATGTATGGTATCTTCAGTCCCTGCGTGTCTTGAGGTGTTCTTTCAAAATAAGACTGATCCCACAGCAAAGAACCCTTTCCTTACAGACTGTCAGTTTTTGCCTTTTTCCCCATAGGCCAATTCCTCTGTTCCTGTCGAATCCTTCTTTTCCGAATTTACTAGCAGCCAGAATGCAGTCCAGCTCCCAGTGATGACGGAAGTGATAAAGTGTATCAGAGCTGAAGGTCTCAAAACGGCCGTCCTGAGTAACAATTTCTATTTGCCAAGCGGAGAAAGTTTCCTCCCTCTGGACAGAAAGCAGTTTGATGTGGTAAGTTTACCGTATGTAACAGAGACTCCCGCTTTTTAGAGAGGTCTGTTATCAAGGAAATTTTTGACTTAGGCAAGTTTGAATCAATGAAGTTTGGGCAGATTTCCATGTGAATAAACAAAGCACTCTTTTTGGCGTGGATCCCGCCTATGAGCTAGCATCTTAGAAGATGTATTTTATTGTTGGCGACAGAAAGGGATGCAGTACTTTGAAGTTGGGGTCTGTTTTGCAAGTACTGTTTTTAAAACTCAGTTTTTTAAAAATGATGCCAGGCTCTCTGGATGCATTTTGTTTTCCAAAAAGTTTTGAGCAGGTTAATTAATCAGCTGGATAAAATTTTCCATCCCTACAGTTGATTTTGTAATTATCTGGTGGCTGGGGATGATGGGGAATGCAGCCCAACACATCTGGAAGGCACTAGGCTGGGGAGTGCTATCTTAAACGTTGTTGGACCTGACTCAGGCCGTGAAATAAATGGGATGTCTTAATCCCCATTTGAACTAGTTCAATTGATTTAAATGGGTCAGCTGTGCTTGAGAGGAAAGTTGCATGTATCTCCTCAATTCTTCCTCTGGACTATGTGTTTTGTGCCAGCTGGGGCATCTCCATAATGCTCCAAGGAGATGAACATGTCGATGAAGGTAGTGGGAGGGATAATGCATCCTTTCATGCACCTGTCTTCATGTGTTTTGCATTTTATTCCTCCTGCAGATAATCGAGTCTTGCCGGGAAGGGGTGTGTAAGCCAGACCCTCGTATCTACAAAGTTTGCTTGGAGCGACTAGGGGTCCAAGCCAGGGAGTCCATTTTCTTGGATGATCTTGGGCAGAATCTGAAAGCTGCTGCTCAGCTTGGTATGAAAACACTAAAGGTAAGACGTTGGGTGGGGCTGGGCAGTCAGTGCTTTGCTGTTCAACTGATAGTTCAGTTTTTAAATCAGCGGTTCCCAACCTTTTTTTTTTTTACGAGGGACCACTTAGACCAGGGACCATTCTCCAATATTAGTACCAAAAGTGTTACAAATCAATTTTTGGTCAACTTTAGATTCAGATTGGTTATTTGGGGTGCTGATTCAGAAATTAGCATTGGATAGACCACATCAGCTCTAGTTTCTGATACAGAACATATACCATCCAGTAGTCGCTATCTTCTTACTCATATTTAATAAGCCTTGGCACTGTAAGAGGGTTTTGTGAGACCAATTGTTCTCATTGCAACGGTGTAGTAGCAGTGAGGCTGTGGACCATATCTTAGTTTTTGCGGACCACTGGTAGTCCACAGAGCACAGGTTGGGAACCACTGCATTCCCCTGGAGCCCATTCATTCCCACAGCTTTTCCTTGACCCCTGCCCTTGTCTCAGGTTGAAGACACAAACACAGCGATAGAAGAATTAGAAACACATTTGGGTTTCCCCTTGCGGTCCTCAGTTCCTTATACATCTTCTGTGAGGCCTACCATGGAGATTCCTAAGGAGCCTCTCCAAGACTACCTTGAAAGCATCTTGGGGACTCATGCAAAAGGTACAAGAGTGTATATTTCCACTTTTTTTTTTTTTTTGAAGTCTAGGCTCATTTTCAAGATTGTTGTGAAGATAAAACCACTCTTGCTTACTGATTGCTTGGCCTCCAACTTTTAGACTCTCTGGTGCTCCGACAGTTCAGTCATGGGCAGTCCAATCCAACATACTACATCAAGTATGGCGATCATCGCTTTGTCTTAAGGAAAAAGCCCCCGGGCAAGCTGCTACCTTCCGCTCATGCTGTCGAGAGAGAGTTCAGGTGAAGGATTCCACAACACTTTGGGTGTTATTTCCAGCTATACAGGAGAACAGTCCTTTTGGGGTGCCCTGTGGAACATGTCACCTTCCCTGGTTTTGACAAATGTAAGTGCTTCCAGCAAATCCTTCCTTTCTTAATTCTCTACTCCTCCTCCTCCAGGGTTTTGAAGGCCATGGCTCAGGCCAGCGTTCCGGTTCCCGAAGTCCTAGCCTTATGTGAAGATCCAAGGTGAATGTCTGTGTCCATGTGTCTTTAAGAGCAGAGCGAAGGCAGAGTGGGATTTCCCCTGGAAATTACTATTTATTTGATTTATTTCTATCTCGCTTTTCTCTCAAAATGGGAGTCAAAGCAGCTTGCGATGTAAATTTAAAAACAACCATGCTAAAACAATATGCAGCAGGACAGTTAAAAAAGCATACCCATTGTATGTCCCGTAACCCCAACCAGTTAAAAGCTGGAGACCTGTTTAAATAGAAAGGTCTGGCAGGGAAAAAACAGCCCGGGGAGGGGGGTGGGGAATTAAGCTATGATTTCCATAGTCTAGGCCCTCTCTCACATCCTCACCAGGCTCATACAGGAGGCAGGGGTTTTCAAATGTTCTTAAAGGGTTAGAGCTTCATAGCTGTGTTCTTGTATCACCCCAGCATCATTGGCACCCCATTCTACCTAATGGAGCACTGCGCCGGGCGGATCTTCAAGGATCCTTCCCTTCCAGGACTGGAAGCCAGGCAGCGGATGGAGATTTATACCGCCATGAACAGGGTCCTCTGTAAGATCCACAGCGTAGACATCCAAGTGGCTGGCCTTGAGGATTATGGGAAACATGGTACATGCATTCTCAGAGCTATAGTGCTGCTCCCTGAGGTGGGGCATATATGGCCTTCTCAATATTCCTGGACTTCAGCTCCCATTGGGCTTCGCCACTGACTCTGCTGGCTAGGACTAATGAGAGCTTCAGTCCCAAAATATCTCAGATTGCAGAAAGCTCTCTTCCTCTGAATTGCCTTTCATGCTGACCTTCCAGTTTTTTCTGCTGCTTGAGGTGATTTATCTCTGAACTGGGACAAAGGCATCAGGACCAAGGCTAGATTGGGACCCTAAACCTGGCAGCCTGCCTTATGAAACAGCGGCCAAGGTTGTCCTTGACTAGACTGCTCTCAGAGCTTGGAGAAGTAACTTGCTTCCAGGGACTTCGAGGACTTGCTCTCCCTAAAGTGTGCTTATTCCATTCCAGACTGATAGATCTGAAACATATTGTTCTCAAAGATTAGGTTTTACTCAGTCTCATAGTGTGGGAATTGGAAAGGAGGCACAAATGCATAAATAATTTAGTGGGTAATTCACCGGTAACTCTAAAGGTGCTGGCAAAGAAAATTCTCATCAGATTTTAAAATCCAGCCAATTCACAGTGCAAAATGCTTATACAGGGTGAGGCAGCATAACTTCCTTCTTTCAAAACTTAATAAAACCCATTGTATAAATCAGAATTTTTTATTTTTTTATAATGTAGGCACATACCTAAAGTTTTGTTTTACGTAGTTTTGAAGATCAAATTAGGTAGGTGACGTCACCCATTCTCCATTCTCCATACACTGAGTAAACCGATTTCTGGCGTTTGTCATGACTCCTGTCAGCATAGCAGGCGTTATGTTGGCAATTTCTTCTTGGATGTTGGTCTTCAAATCTTGTAGGATCCTTGGACGGTTCACATAAACACGGGATTTCAAAAAACCCCATAGAAAAAAAATCACAAGGGGCCCCATCTGGAGAGCGGGCCAGCCACTCCAAATCCGCACGAAAAGTAGGCCTCAACAGCAAAAGCACGCTCCTCACTGTTCCAATGCATGATGGCGACTGAACTGTGTCAGGACAAAACTTTATACTCCCGCCTCTCGAACGAAACCGCTAGTGCTCCGACTGAATGGCGCACATTTTAAAAAAGGAAGTTATGCTGCCTCACCCTGTACCTAAACAAGGTTAGATGAAGGTACAACAAAACTACCAGTATTTCTTTGAGCCATGTTTTCATATATAGCTTTCTAATATTGATATGGTTGCTGTAGACTGGCTTCCCAGTATACTTCCACATAAGGGAATTTTTTATACCTGTATTCGCTGAAGAGAAAACAGCATGCAAGGGAGAGGACTAGTCCTCCAGCTTGGTTGGATGTTGACAGATGGAGTCTGCTATGGTGCCTGAGTTTCCTTTTCCTTCTTCCTCCCAATACTTTTTTCTCTTGTGGCATGCCTTTATATTTCAGGCCACAGGCCTGTTTTGTTTTGTTTCTAATTGTTATGAGCTGCTGTGGGAGCCTTCTTGGCTGAAGCAGGGCTATTTATTTTGAATGACTTGAAATCACTGTTTCAGGTAACTACATCCAGCGGCAAGTCCAAACGTGGAGCAAGCAATACCGTGCTGCAGAGACACACTCAATCCCAGCCATGGAGAGGCTCATTGAATGGCTCCCGTCCCACATGCCAGCTAGCGAGCATCTCTCTGTTGTGCATGGTGACTTCAGGTACCAGACAGGAAGCATCCCAGCCTTGGCAATGTTGCCTTTTGTAGACAGATATGTATGGCTACAGTAGGTTTAGCTAGAGTGGAATCCTGCTGTTTTCAGCTCAGGCTTTGCTTGATGCATTGCTTACTCAGCCCATCCCTGATAGCCATTTCTCCTACTCTCTTTCACCCTCCTGCCAATGCTGATGCTGCTAAAAATGTTTTCCAGCTGGACAGAGGATGGGGAGGGCATGTCTGAGAAACCATAAAAAGCATCTATATAAATAAAAATGTAATGTTCGTTTGTGCTACCATCAGAACTCAAAAACCACTGGGGGAATTGACACCAAATTTGGACACAAGACACCTAACAGTCCAATTTATGTCCTCCACTCAAAAAAACCCCCAAAGAAACAGCAGAAACCCCAAAAATCCACACAAGGGAAGAGCAGCCATTACAGCACTGAGAGCCAAGCGCGTGCACACGCACAACCATACAAATAGAACTGGCACAACAAGCGGCACCTAGCTCCCTCCCTCACCGCGGCCAGATGCGGCCCGCGTGGCCTGGCCAGGCCTCGTGCAAAGCCCCTCGCCACTTGCGTCAGCGGCGTTTCTCTCCCCCCGGAGCGGCTTCAGCCAGGGTCACGCCGGGCCAGGATTCTCCCTCCCTCCCTCCTTCCTTACCCTTCCCCCTTTCTCTCCCCTTCCCCTTCCTTCCTTCCCTCCCTTCCCCTCCCTCCTTCCCCCCCTTCCTTTCCTTCTTCCTTTCTTCCCTCCCGTGTGGGAGGGAGTAGCCTCCCGGGAAGCCACCAGGGAAGCCAGCGTTGCCTGGCCACGCCCACCCGGTGCCGCCTCCGCCGCCAAGAGCGCACACCCCCCTCTTCGCCATCAGGGATCTTCTGTGCTCTCTGCGCTCCGTGGCCACGAGGCACCTCTTGCTCCATTCCCAGCCGAGAACAAGCGATGGGTGCCGCTCTGAAAAGGTTTGGCCCAATTCTATCGTTGATGGGGTTCAGAATGCTCTGTGATTGTAGGTGAACTACAAATCCCAGCAACTACAACTCCCAAATGTCAAGATTCTATTTCCCCCAAACTCCACCAGTGTTCACATTTGGGCATATTGAGTATTCGTGTAGAGTTTGGTCCAGATCCATCATTGTTTGAGTCCACAGTGCTCTCTGGATGTAGGTGAACTACAACTCCAAAATCAAGGTCAATGCCCACCAAACCCTTCCAGTATTTTCTGTTGGTCATGGAGACTCTTGTGCCCAAGTTTGGTTCAATTCCATCACTGGTGGGATTCAGAATGGTCTTTGATTGTAGGTAAACTATAAATCCCAGCAACTACAACTCCCAAATGACAAAATCATTTTTTTTTTAGTGAAGGACATACATTGGGTTGTTAGGTGTCCAGTGGTTTTTGAGTTCTGTTAATCCCACAAACGAACATTACATTTTTATTTATATAGATTTATTTCCTATATTTATACCCTGCCCTTCTCCCCCTGAAAGGGGACTCATGCTTACATATGCCAAAAACCACTTTCAAAACGACAGAAAATAGATTTTCTCCTCCCCTCACCAGCTTCATTCTCCTTTATTAAATCTACAGTGTAGATGCACCCAAAGTCAACCCTTCCACACTGCCATGTAAAATCCAGATTATCTACTTCGGACTGAATTATATGGCAGTGTAGACACATGCACACACGCGCACGCGTGCATGCACACACATACATATATGGATGGATGTTGGATCACTGGTTGGTGATACACACACACACACACACATATATATAACAATACTTCATATATTACTATTATATATATTTCTATATAATATAATGTTGCTACTACATATTACTATATTAAATAGACTCATAGAATAGAGTTAGAAGGGACTCTACTATGGTATTGGGGGAGAACAGACAGGAAGGAAGGAAGGAAGGAAAGAGGTACCGAAAGAAAATAGGAAAGGAAAAGGAAAGGAAAGGCAGGAAAGAGATAAAGAAGGAAGGAAGGAGAAAAGGAAATAAAAAGGGAAAGAAGGAAGGAAACAGGGAGGGAAGAAAGGAGACAAAGAAGTAGAGAAGGGGAGGGAAGGAAGGAAAGAGAGAAGAAGGATGAAACCAAAGAGCAAAAGAAGGAATGAAAGAAAGAGGTAGAGAAGGAAGAAAGGAGAGAAAGGGGAAGGGGAAGAAAAAGGGGGAAGGAATAGGTAGGTACCTCTCTTTCATAATAGTTCAGATATCTACCTCTACTTCGAAAATTCTTACTATAGGCCACAGCAACGCGTGGCAGGGCACAGCTAGTTTATATATATATATATATATATATATATATATATATATATATATATATAATTTCCTGTCAGAGACTCTCTTTGCTGAGGTATGCCTGTATTTTTTAAGAGGATGGTATTGGGCCATTTCCAGTATTCCCCCATTTGCAAAGTAGCACCTGTGAAGACTTATTTGCATCTTCCTATTGCTTCCTTTTGCAGGCTGGATAACCTGATCTTCCATCCAGAGAAGACTGAGGTTGTGGCTGTGCTTGACTGGGAGCTGTCCACCTTGGGCAACCCTCTTTCAGATGTGGCCTATAACTGTGTGGCTTATTATTTGCCTTCTCACTTTAGCATCTTAAAGGGTATGTGTGCATTCTTTAGTGGGGAGAGGACTACTCATCCGTTTAGATGAAACAGCTGGGGTGGGAATTCAGGTATTGCTTAGGAAAGGTAGTTGAGTTCTGCAGAGCAACCAACAGCACTGCCCCCCCCCCCCCTTAGAGTTGGAAGAGAAGATTCAGAGTCAGTGGTGGATGCGGGGATGTATCATGAGGTGGATTGCTCTTCTATCTTGCTCTGATCCACCAGGACAGAGATTTACAGGATAGCCAGCAGGGGGAGACATTTAAGGGAAGCAGAAAGCAGTGAGACTGGACAAGTGCAGGGCCAGCTGCTCCTCCTGCAAACCTTCTCTCCTGCTTATCAGATACACCCATATAGAGTGCCTATGTGGCTTCAAGTTGCCAGTCGGCTTATACCGAGCGGCTCCATGAATTTGCTAGGACATCCATAGCCAAGAAATCCCCTAAAATACAGCCCACAGCAACTGGCATGCATTAGCGATCTCCCATGTACTGGCCCTGCTAAGCATTCAAGATCAGACAGGAGATGGTATTTATTCCCTGCTAGAAAAAGGCTGTTCAAGCTAACCTGCAACATCAGTTATCTCTGAAGTTCATGTGGCTGACTTTCCCCTCCTCTGGAGGCTGAGTCTTCCTGGCCAATTCCATAGCAAACTTATCAAGAGCCTTGGATGTTGCTGCCAGTGTAGGCTGGGCTGGAAAGGCCATGGGGAGACCTGAGTCCTCCTCTTGGCTCAGCTTCTTGCTCCTGCCTTGTCTGTCCCCTCTTCACCCATTGGCAGGTTTAAGAGACTATGATGTGCACCAGTTGGGCATTCCCTCAGCAGAGGCTTACGTCCAGCTGTATTGTGACCAGATGGGCATCCCTCCTGTTGAGAACTGGAACTTCTACGTGGCGTTCTCCTTTTTTAGAATTGCCGCCATCCTTCAAGGGGTGTACAAACGCTCCCTCACAGGTGAGAGGACAAAATGATTTGGCCCCAGTCTTTGGACTTGGTCATAGGGCCTTCCTCTCATTGTTTGCCAGGGTGTGAGACAGCAGTTGGACCACGTTTGTTTGTTTCCTGAAGGCCAGGCCAGCTCTGCCACTGCCGAGAGCAGTGGGAAGCAAGCGGAATTCATGGCAGACCTCGCCTGGGACTTCGCTACCAAAGAAGGCTTCAGGGTCTTCAAGGAACTCCCATCCTCTGTGCCTCCTGCCAGGCCATTCAGTACCTGGGCTGATCCGAGGCAACTCCCAAGGAGACACTATTCCAGGGTGGCTTCCACTCCTAGCTCCCAGCTGATTGTCTCTCTGGATGGCCTCCCCAGCCGGGTCCAGCAGTTGCACCACAAGCTGAAGCAGTTCTTGGATGCCCACATCTACCCAGCTGAGCAGCTGCTGCGCAACTACCAGGTTTCCCCAGAGAGGTGGACACCTCACCCGCTCCTAGAAGAGCTCAAGGCAAGTCCTCTTCCCTCAGTACGGCACAAACAAAGCCTGATTTTCTGGCTGAGGATAATATAGGGCTATCAAGGTGTACATAGATAACCAGAGATAGTTTTAGGAGACTGTTTCCTTACCAGTCTGGTTTCATTTGGTTTCAAAGAGCTGTGTGGCATCGTGGTTGGGAGTCTTGGAAGATTGAGGTTCAAGTCCTCTGGAGTCACAGAACCTGCTGTGTGGTCCTTTGCTTGACACCACACCTTTTTTTTTACTGCATTCAGGTTTGTTGCCTTATCTCCCCTTCCCCACTTCTTGTCCTCAGGAGAAAGCAAAGGCTGAGGGCCTCTGGAACCTATTTCTGCCACTGGAGAGTGACCCTGAAATGAAATATGGAGCTGGCCTAAGCAACATGGAGTATGCCCACCTGTGTGAACTGATGGGGACTTCACTTTATGCTCCTGAGGTAGCTGCCTAGAGGCTCAACCTGGGCCAATTCAGAAACTCCTTGCAGCCCTCCCTCTTGGGGGTGTCTGACCATCCTACAGCCTCAGGCCTATAGACTGAGAATGAGAGTTTCCCTTCTTCTCCCTCTGGTAGTTGTGACACTGAAAAGAACAGCTCCCTTGGAACCAGGATTCTTCCTTCTTTGTGCCTCACAGACTTTGTCCATTTAGCCTGTTACTGAGGAGCAGCAGAGGAGAGAGGATATTCCCTGCCTGGAAAGCCATTGACCATATTGAGTGGGATTAAAGGCCCAAGGGCTCCCCCTCTCTCCTCTTTTCCCATGGTTGCTAACCAGCACTTCACTCCTTCTCCAGGTATTTAATTGTTCTGCCCCAGACACCGGCAATATGGAAGTCCTGCTCCGCTATGGAACAGAAGAGCAGAAGGCACATTGGCTGAAGCCTCTGCTGGATGGCAAGATCCGCTCCTGTTTTGCCATGACAGAACCACAGGTCAGTGCCCCCAGGCCAAGGAAGGTTGGCATCTTCTCAAGGCGTGAGCAGAAGCCTTGATGGATTAGTCACACTGTCTTGGGTGGAATTGAAGCATATATGTCTCTCTTCCTCCCATGTCCATCCTTATAACAACAATACCACTCCAGGAATTAGGGGAAAGGAACTAAACTGGTACTTGTGTCATCTTGCAATTGCCACTGTCCGCATCCAGCATCTACTTCAAATTTTCACTTTGTTCTCCCTGCTGATCATAAACCGGGAGACGGAAAGATAAATCTGTATTGAACATAGTTGAGTGTTTTAAATGGGATGTGCTGTTCTGGAAACATTGCCCCAACTTTCTTCTAAATTCGAGTGTGTTGTTTTTCTCAGGTTGCTTCTTCAGATGCCACCAACATTGAGGCTTCCATCATTGAGGAGCGAGATGCCTATGTCCTCAATGGGCGGAAGTGGTGGATTTCAGGTGTGTTACCAATCCTACAGTTTGCCTTGCTGCAGCTGGAATGCTATGATGCAAGATGCGGTGAAAGGACAGATGAATTTGCTAAGACTGTGGTGGGGAAAATTGGTGCCCTTTGAGAAGTCACTAGAACACAATTCAGCTCTTGCCGACATGGCTAGGGGGTGAAGGATTATGGGAGTCACAGTGCGATATTACCATATTGGTTGATAGTTCTGGATCTGCCATTGTCCAAAAGGTTACTTCTCCAAGACCTGGCTTTCCTTTTACTTTGAAGCTTCTCCAGTGCCATGGTCCAACTGTGCAAGTTGAAAAGAGATGACAAAGGGTCATCAACAACCAGAGTGTAGTGTAACAGTTCCTGAATTGAGTACGCTATATTCACATCTCTTTTATTGACAGGTGCCCTGGATCCTCGTTGCCAGCTGTGTGTCTTTATGGGCAAGACTGACCCCACAGCCCCAAGGCACAAGCAACAATCGATGCTGCTGGTCTCCATGGACACACCTGGTATCACCGTCATCAGGCCACTTACCGTCTTTGGCTTGGAAGATGCCCCAGGTGACACCAGGCATTTGCTTCAAGGGTTTGCTGAAAACAGAGTGCAGGGGACGAAGTGGGGGTGATCTGCAGATCTCTCAAAGGGGAAAGAAATTTACCTTTACAAAGGTTCTTTCCTTGGTTGCCAGTCACATCTGAAACTAGGCCTCTTCTGGAAAGATGAGGTTCTACATGGTTGCAGTTCATTCCACTGAAAAGTTGGTGTTAAACAGCCTTGCGTGGGCTCATAAACCTTCTGTCACAAAAAAGAGTCTCTATATGTTGTGGGTTTCAAGTGATGAGAAGGCTCTGGGACAAGGTTAAGAGCTGCTAAAATCCCTTCCAGAGGGTAGGAACTGTACCTCGGCAGCTGAAGCACCATCCTTGGCTGCAGAGGCTCCCAAGTTCAGCTTATGGTGCCTCTGGGGCATCAGGAAGCAGATGATAACTGATGTTGCAGTCCTGGAAGCATAGGGAACACCAGGTAAGCAAAAGTCTATATGTTCCCCTCTCTAGCTGGCCATGGAGAGATCACCTTTGAGAACGTCCGTATCCCCAAAGAGAACCTCCTGTTGGGACCAGGCCGGGGCTTTGAAATTGCCCAAGGGAGGCTGGGCCCAGGAAGGATACACCACTGCATGCGGCTAATTGGCTTTGCGGAAAGAGCACTGGCTCTCATGAAGGAGCGGGTGAGTCAGGGATCTTGGGACTGACTTTAGAAATCTTATTGCACCTGCCTTTTAGTCCACGAGAGCTCTCTTATTCGGCACATTCCACATTTCTGTTCTTGTCGGCAGGTTTCCTTCCGAGTAGCCTTCGGAAAGCCACTGGCAGAACAAGGCACCATCCGGGCAGGTGTTGCTGAGTCACGCATTGAGATTGAACAGGCCCGTCTCCTGGTCCTCAAAGCAGCCCACCTCATGGATACAGTCGGGAATAAGGTTATTACTCTGAAAATAAAATTTCCTAATTGGGGGGGGGGGAGCAGCCTGACACCTGGGTGCAGTGGGCACAGGGAGTTTCTGCCTTGCACACAGGAGAGGGGCTTCAAGTCTGGACTGTTCAAACCTCTCTCTCAGCCGTGGAGTCAGATCCAGGCAAGAGAGGCTCCCAAGGTAGCACTGAAGGTTTTTTGTACACATTTTTTTAAAACAGTGAAAGTGAGACAGCTTCCCCCACCCCAGGTAAGCAAAAGTGATAGCCAACATTTTTAGTATTCATTTCACATTTCTGATTTTCCCCACTTCCACCCCGGCACCAGATCCCACTGTGGGAAAGCAGGAATGGCAGGTGGGCCCTGTTTTCCCCTCAAAAGGTGCTAAAGGGATGATCACACTATGCACCTGCATTCGTTTTCCCATTTATCTCTCAAGTATCTTGAAAGTAGCATCTTTTCTAAATTAAACATACCGGCACATGAGGTGGCATAAAACCCATTTTGGAAGGCCGGTTGGGTTCCCCTCTTTACATGCATTTGAAAAACCCTGGGAAGACTTTGCCTGCATCCTGCCATTTGGTTTTATCTCACCTCTGCCCAGGGAGCAGCTCTTGAGATTGCCATGATCAAAGTAGTGGCTCCAAACATGGCTTTGCGGGTCATCGACCGAGCGATGCAGGTGAGTGTTTCTAAGTCTGGCCTATTGCCTCTCTCCAGATCATTATTGTCCTATTCATCTCTATTCTGCCTTTTCCCCCTGTTCAGGACTCCAAAGTGTTTTACAACCACTTCAAAAAAAAAAGCATATTATCAAAAGTTCACAAAATTCAAAAGTTGTAAAGCAAGTTAAAATGTAAACTATTCAAACACACAGCTGTTTTTAGCTTGGATCCTCCATCTTTTCCTCTATATATGGGGTGTGTTTTCCCCCAACAGGCCTTTGGAGCAGCAGGACTCAGCAACGACCAACCCCTGGCACTCTCCTTTGCCTGGGCAAGGGCCCTGCGCCTGGCTGACGGCCCCGACGAAGTACACAGGGAAGCCATCGCTAAAATGGAACTGAAGCGTTAGCTGGGTCACAGTGTGTTCCCAGCAACTGCAGTTGAAAAATGCACAGAAATGATGTCTAGGAGCTAAATGAACCAATATTTGTGTTTGTGTGTATAGCAAATGTTCCACATTGCTATTGATTCCTCCAGAACAGGCATCCTCAAACTGTGGCCCTCCAGCTATTTGGGCCTCCAACTCCCAGAAGCCCTAACGAGCTTGGTCAATTGTCAGAAATTCTGGGAATTTTAGGCGCAAACAGCTGGAGGGCCACAGTTTGAGGATGCCTGCTCTAGGACACCACAGCTGATTATGGGCGGAGGTGGGCCACACCATTTCAGGCCTCATGCTGGGCAAGAGGCCTTATACAGTCTCAGGTTCATCCACTACCGGACCCTCTGTGTATCAATCAATACAGTAGGGACGTGCCTTAATTTTTCTTGGGAAAGCTTTGAGTATCAGAAAATCCTCTATTACCTTTGCAGTGTCTCGACTCCTTTATGGGAAGAAGGCCCTTGCATTGGCTCTGCTTTGGGCATCTGGATGGTGGATAAGGAAAAAAGGCGGTTGTAGGGGCTCTCTCTGCTTTGTCGAGGTTAAAGGCCCGCTCGCCCTGACTGGCAGCACCAGCAGGTTTGCTGCTGCTGTTGTTGGGGCGGTAGCACTTCATTTGCTTACTGCAAAAAAGAATGGGAATTACAGCTAAGAGACTGCTTTTGAACTGTTGTATGACACTGTTACATAAACAAGCCAATAAACATAAAGTGACCCTTGCCTGTGTTTCTTGTCTTCAATGGGATTCGTGTTTCCAGACTAGGACATAATGAAGCAATGGATTCAAACTGCAAGAAAAGAGATTCCATGTAAACATTCAGAAGAATGTCTGTTCGACAGCGGGAAAAGCTGCTGCTTGGAAGTCCAATGGAGTCTCCCTCTCTGTGCCTTCAAGACTGGGTGGCCATCTGTTGGGAGCATTTTGATGGTGTCGTCATTGTGGGTAGGATGGGGTTAGACCAGATGGGCCTGGGGCTCTCTCCCAACTCAAGAATTCTATTCATACTGATAATTGTTAGAATAAAACTACAATAGGTGTTCCAAACAAACAAGAGCTGCAATTGAGAGCCAGAAATGTGGGACTTCAGATTTCGAAATAGTTGTTTTTTTTCTCAAACAAACATCATGAGATTCTTGTGGGTTTTTTTCGGGCTATAGGGCCATGTTCTAGAGGCATTTCTCCTGATGTTTCGCCTGCATCTATGGCAAGCATCCTCAGAGGTAGTGAGGTCTGTTGGAATTAGGATAATGGGTTTATATAATTCCAACAGACCTCACTACCTCTGAGGATGCTTGCCATAGATGCAGGCGAAACGTCAGGAGAAATGCCTCTAGAACATGGCCCTATAGTCCGAAAAAACCCACAAGAACCTAGTGATTCCGGCCATGAAAGCCTTCGACAATACATTAAACATCATGAGATCTTTTTGAAGTGGGACCCTGTCGAAACATGAAATGCATTGATGATTCATAACTTGGAAGTCCCCAAGTTACAAACAGGATTAGTTTTGTAGGTTTGTTCTTAAATTGAATTTGTATGTAACCCAGAACAGGCACATTTTAAAGTGTTACTCCAGATATATAGCTATAGAGAGAGTTTGAGATAGCACAGGAAAGGGTGAACACCCCTGTGGTGTTTCCTTTGCCGCCTGTGCCCCAGTTCAGAAGATCTCATCTCACTTTCTGCCCCTGTGAGAATGGGATTTTGAAAAATGTGGCTCCTTGTGGAAACAAGGATTTGTTAGAAACCTTCAGTGGAGACCCCTTTACCCTGTGATAATGAGGGCTCTTCCAGACAGGCCCTATATCCCAGGATCTGATCCCAGGTTTTCTATTTCTCCCAGATTATCTGGGATATAATCTAGTTTAAAGCAGAAAACCTGGGATCAGATCCTGGGTTATAAGGACTGTCTGGAAAGGCCCTGTCTTTCAGGAGTCGTTTTCCCTTCCTTCCGAGGGGGAGATTTCCCTCACTTTTTGTTGTCTTAGCCTCGTCCTTGGCTAGGAGTAGTTTGTAAATCGGATGTTACATCTTTTGTAAGTCTCCTACCACATCACTTGGGAGCCCCTCAATATATACAATAGAATAATATATAGAAATAATAACATAATAATGTAATAATGCTACTATATATATAATACTAATAGTATAATATACTGGTAGTGTATTACAGTGTTCCCTCACTTATCACGGATGTTCCAGGAACACCCACAATAAGTGAAATACCGCAAAATAGGGATGCTCCCTCCCCTCCTCTCACTCCGCCTTCTCTTTTCTCTCCTCTTCCCCCTCCCTCCCTCCCTTGGGCGCCCATGCCACCCTTCCCTGGCAAGAGGGACAATTTCACCTGTGCAGCCCTCCTCCTCGCCTTTCCTCCCTCCCCCTTGCCTTCTTTCCTCATTTGCTTTCCCTCCACTTCTCCCCCCCCCACCCCAATGAGAGGAAGAAGAGGAGGAAAAGGGGAGGAGAAAGGAATTGCCTTCTTTCCTACTTTGCTTTCCCTCCACTTCTCCCTCTCGCTTGGGAGCTGCCGACCCCAGCAAGAGGGAGAAGAGGAGGAAAAGCAGAGGAAGAAGGAAGGCAAGGAGGGAGGGAGGAAAGGCGAGGAGGAGGAGGGCCACGCAGGTGAAAGTGTCCCTCTTGCCAGGGGAGGGTGGCATGGGCACCCGAGGGAGGGAGGAAGGGAGGGGAAAGGGGAGAGGAAAGAGAAGGCAAAGTGAGAGAGAGGGAGGGAGGGAAGGCGAGGAGGAGGAGGGCCGCGCATGGAAAACCATGAAACAGAGGTTTTGTGGTAAGTGAGCCGCGAAGGAGCAAAGGAACACTGTGTTATATTTTGTGGTATAATAACATAGTACAATGTAATAATATGTAATAATATAATAATTGTGTATTATATATTACATGTAATATTACAAATAATATTGCAGTATAGTAGTATAATACAATCTAGTAATATATAATACTAGCGCTATGCTATGCTAATAACATAAAATATTGTATATTTATTTATTTATTTATTTGGGGTTCTTTTACCCCGCCCTTCTCACCCCGAAGGGGACTCAGGGCGGCTTACAGAAACAAGGCACAATTTGATGCCTGTATCATAAACAATCATACACAAAATTACAACAATTCACAGTTGACATGCATGCATTATAACCATAAAATCAATAAAAACCAAATACAAACCCAATTTCTCCTCTTACGTGGTCAGCGTTCGTTAACACCTAGATCTAGTTTTACGTTCCATTCATCCATCCTGCTGGTCTTACTCGCCTGATTGTCTGATTTAATTGCCAGAGTGCCCAAAGGCCTGGTCCCATAACCAAGTCTTCACCCTCCTCCTGAAGGCGAGGAGGGATGATGATGCCCTGATTTCCCCCGGGAGTGAGTTCCACAGGTGAGGGGCTACCACTGAGAAAGCCCTGCTCCTCGTCCCCACCAGCCTCACTTGTGACAGTGGTGGGGTCGAGAGCAGGGCCTCCCCAGATGATCTCAGACTCCGGGGTGGGACGTAGAGGGAGATACGTTCGGACAGATACACTGGACCGGAACCGTATAGGGTTTTGTAGGTCAAAACCAGCACCTTGAATTGTGCTCGGAACTGAATCGGCAGCCAGTGGAGCTGGCACAGCAGGGGGGTGGTATGCTCCCTGTATGTCGCTCCGGTGAGCAATCTGGCTGCCGCTCGCTGGACTAGTTGAAGTTTCCGAACAGTCTTCAAGGGCAACCCCACGTAGAGTGCGTTGCAGTAATCTATTCGGGATGTAACAAGAGCGTGGACCACTGTGGCCAGATCAGACTTCCCAAGGTACGGGCGCAACTGGTGCACAAGTTTTAATTGTGCAAAAGCTCTCCCGGCCACCGCCGAGACCTGGGGTTCCAGGCTCAGCGATGAGTCCAGGATCACTCCCAAGCTGCGAACCTGTGTCTTCAGGGGGAGTGTAACCCCATCTAACACAGGCTGTAACCCTATACCCTGTTCGGCCTTACGACTGACCAGTAGGACCTCTGTCTTGTCTGGATTCAATTTCAATTTGTTAGCTCTCATCCAGTCCGACACAGCAGCTAGACACCGATTCAAGGTCTGGACAGCCTCCTTGGTGACAGGTGAGAAGGAGTGACAGATTTGGACATCATCTGCGTAGAGATAACATCTCATTCCGAAACTCCGAATGATCTCCCCCAGCGGCTTCATGTAGATGTTAAATAACATCGGGGACAGAATTGAACCCTGTGGGACTCCACACAACAACGGTTGTGGGGCCGAACAGGTGTCACCCAGTAACACCTTCTGAGATCGTCCAAGAAAGGACTGGAGCCACTGCAAAGCAGTACCCCCGAGACCCATGTCTATGAGGCGTCCCAGAAGGATACCGTGATCGACGGTATCGAAGGCCGCTGAGAGGTCCAGCAGAACTAACAGGGACACACTCCCCCTGTCCAGTTCCCTGCGAAGATCATCTACCAAGGCGACCAAGGCTGTTTCCGTTCCATGTCCCGGTCTAAAGCCAGACTGTGCCGGATCAAGATAATCAGTGTCTACCAGAAATCCCTGGAGTTGTGCTGCCACCACACGTTCCAGGACTTTGCCCAAATAGGGGAGATTGGAAACTGGCCGATAGTTGTCTAATTGAGTGGGGTCCAGTGATGGTTTTTTCAACAGCGGTTTGATGATAGCTTGTTTTAAGCTCGCTGGAATCTTGCCCTCCTGTAAGGAGGCATTAACCACCACCTTCACCCACTCTGCCAAACCCCCTCTGGCTTCTTTTATCAGCCAGGATGGGCAGGGGTCTAGGATGCATGTGGTGGGTCGCACCTCTCCAAGGATCCTGTCCACATCCTCAAGCTGAACCAATTGAAATGAATCCAATAAAACCTGACAAGCAGATGCTCTCGTTACATTCTCAGAGACTGCAGGTAAAGTGGTGTCAAAAACCGACCGAATCCGCACAATTTTATCTGCGAAGAATCGAGCAAACGCTTCACAGTGAGCTCCAGAGCTGTCAGGGATCTCGCTTTTCGGCGGGTTTAACAGACCTCTGACAACTCGGAAGAGTTCAGCTGGTACATATAATGTTGCTAATAATAATGTAATACAATGTAATTCTAATAATAATACAACATCATAACATATTATAATAATATTGGAATACAGTAATACTAATATATTAAATATAATTACTACTGATAATATAATAATAAACCTTTATTTAGATCCCACTTTTCTCCCTAATGGGACCAAAGGGGCTCACAACATAATACAATACAAATCAAAGCACATTTAATGCAACATACAAGACAAAAATCACACAATGCGTAATAACGTCCAGATATAAGATATAAATAAATATTAAGCATTAACAATATTTAAAACCAATTAACAATTATTGTGGAGACTCATCAATTACGTAGTATACTTTGCTATGCTCAGTGCAACTCGACCTTGCTGTCATTAGCAATTGAATTCATTCATGAAAAGCTTGCTTGAACAGGTAAGTCTTCAGCTGGTTCTTGAAAGAGAACAGGGAAGGGGCAGTTTTAATCTCAATGGGGAGGGAGTTCCAAAGGGTTGTGGAGGCTACCGAGAAGGCTCTCTCTATCATTGCCGCCAGCCATATTTGTGATGGTGATGGCAACGAGAGAAGCCCCACATAGAGCCCGTTACAGTAGTCTAAATAGGATGTAACTAAGGTATGGACCACCATGGCCAAGTTTG